ATTCAAGATTTTTACGTTCGCCGATAAAAAAAACAAACGCCCTGTAGATGTTTAGTTTGGCTGAAATTTAATTTAGAGACGAAAAACCTCGTAGTCTATAAAACGAGTTTCGGTATACGGCGTCGACCCGGAACAAGATGATATATAATCCGGTGGTTGTAATTTTGCCGGAGCATGTGCATGTGTGGCACATCTCACGGTCAATTGCGCTCGCAATTGATATCTTTTCGAGACCCCACAAGAGTATATCTACATTTTATCGCTTAAAAGTCATGTAGAAAGTCTCGTTGAAACCCGTTTTTAATGCCTCATTTTTACCAATACCTCTCTATTACCTAACGCTTATTTTTAAAACTTTTAATTGCAACAACCCTCTGCATGTATCTAGTAATATTTTTTAATGCGCTTGTTGATATAATTGGCATTGTATTCGAATTTTCGAGCATTAAAAAATAAAACTAGCTTTAATCCCGTGAATCTATAAATTACGAGAGCATAAAGAGGGTCTTATGGGCGAAGACCACACATTAAAATAATGGGAAATCGGTTATGCATGAAATTAATTTCCAGACGCGCGGAGATAAAGTTAATGAATATAAAACAGCGAGATAACTTTATTATGGGATCCCATTAATGGGAAATAGCCCTTAGTCATTTCGTACGGTATAATGAGGTGTCCGGGTATATGGTAAAAATATTCCTACTGCGGGCGGTTGAAAAATGTCTCATTTTATACGCTCTGGTCTGCTTGAATTGTATGGCGATTGCGGAAATTTTGTATTGTTTTGCTATTTTAAAATGGCCCGGGTGAAATATGTGATATTATAGTCGAGCTGTAGAAAACAATCGTAAATTCGGCTGACTCATGCGAGCCGTAAACAAAATCCAAGACCCTCCTACCAATTTTCTGGACGATCTGGAAGAGGCGGTGCCGGTGAGGCGACACTCGGTCTTCCCCTTCTGGAGAAGTGGTCCAAAAACACTCCTTTTCCGGAGCATTTGAAAGATTAGATTTTTTCGCCTTTAATTTATCGGAGCAACAGCATTCCGATTTCGATCGGATTTCTTTCAAGTTTAATTGGAAAAAGTTATATTTGGAGATTAAAAATACTTTCCAGGATATTGGGATAAAATCGTTTCTCCAGACCTGTCCAGTTTGAGGTATGAGGTGTAAAAAAAGGGCATGAAAAATAATCCGAGAAATTCGCTGTAAATTTTCCTTTTACTGTGACCTAATTTTTAGTAAAATTACTCGCTAAATTATAGCTGGTTTGCCGAATAGAGATCGTTAATTATTATTTAACAGCATCGATTCCTTCTATGCAAATGTTCGTTATCTGAATTTTGCCACTCATCTATCGTTTTTTCCTGAAATTTATGCAAATGGAATAATCTCGTAAAATTTTACTAACATTTTTCTCTTTCGCTATAAATTCTATCCAGCCCTGTGACATTTTTTAATCGAACAATAATTAACATCAACTGAAGTTTCATGTGAAAGAAAGATGAAGAGAACCTACATGTTGCTTTTTGCCAAGCGAACTTCCTCAACCTTTTACCGATCCTTAATTTGGTATTCTTATTCCGATTAAGATCGACGAAAACTGCAGAGAAAGTAATTTGTTTTTCTTGCCAAGTTTTCTAATAAACTTCGAAACTCATTAGACCGCTTCCGGCGCCCGTCGAACAACTTTCCCTCAACTTTTAAACGTTTCCCATTGATATTCACACAGAACGCCGGTTTACCGATACCCGTCCCGCAACATCTCCATTGTTTTTTTTCCCCGGTTTACCGCATAAATCAATCGTAAAAGGCCGCAGGCGTCCTTGATGAATTTGATCAAGTGCCTCAAAAATTCGACACTCTAAAAGAGTGCCTGTACAAATTAGCGATAAAAGACCACCATCCCTCAACTTCATCCCTAATTTCCAGCCGCGATTACACGTGTAATAAAACAACGTATGGAGGACTCTTCACCTCGACGCGTCATTAGTTCGAGCTTTTCCTCTCCATCTAGTTTTTGCCGCGCGTTTTTCCGCCGCCCCACGGTTTTTTTTTCCCGGCTCTCCTGCAACAAGATCGTTCGCATTCGAATCGGAGCGAAAAGATTGATGTCGACGTACAGCCGCACCATCAAAGCGTAGTTATCGCATTTCCGTCGATCGATAAGAGGGCACATTCGTCCGAATTACGTTGACAAATTTTCGGATTTCGACTGCGAGAGAGGACCGGGGGTGGGAATTTCTTTTTTTTCTAACGCGTGTCCTTTTCGTGATTTATCGTTTGTTGAATTGACGGATCGTTTATTTGAAGTGGATGTATTTTTTTTCTATACTCCGACTAGCTGGATCTTCTGTCTCTCGATTCTCGGCGATTGGTCTCAACTTCCAGGGCTGTTCGGCTACTAACAATCAGACACCTCAAAATTATTAAATCGCTCCCGGTCGATGCGCTGCCATTTAAATTAATCAAACAAAAGGGTGAAATTGTAGTACGTAACGAGTCGAATTGTCGAATTTACTAAAGGCCGTAATAGTAACGGAGAAGCGCGGGTATATTTGTTTAGGAGGTAAAGGGGGTTGAAAATTAAAACCGAAAACCGCTTTATCGCCATTCGAATGTGTGCGATGCACTCGAAACACAAGGATACAGTAATACAGTAATAATAACCAGATGATGTATTTGATAAACTAAGGGTGCATGCGAAACTACCGCTGTCGGGGTTCGGCGACGCGTTTTCCAGTCTAAAACAGGCCCGGAACTTTCGTATTTCACCCTAAAGAATTTACAAAAATCATCAAAACATCACCGCGATATAATAGCTGTATAACAAATCGGTTTAGACCATTCAATTTGTTGGTGTGGTGGATTTTTTGTATGTGATTTCTTCTTTTTGTGTTGGTTGATAATTCATGTGATTACGGACCTGTTGGCCTTCGACAACGAAGCGCCGCCGGCCAATATATACAAAACACTCAGAAATTTGTAAACGGATGAAACAACTCCCTATTTACCGAAAATAACTAGGGATTCGAACCGACGTGGATAAACACTCCTCAGTTAAATAAATACGAAACGTACCAGCGCGTCGCGACGCCCACTCGCGCATTTATTTTATTCTTCTTCTTTCATACGGTTTTTAATAGTACATTTTTTGCACTCCTCTATTTTTCCCCGGGTAGGTATTTGATGTTTTAATTTCATTTTCGTCGATGTTGACGTTGCTTCAGAAGCCTCAGGCGTTTCGTTTATAGTTTTAATTCGTAATTCTGCGGCCAGATAAACGAATTGTTTTCCCTAATTAAATTCCCTTTACTATTTTACGGTACGCCGAAAATTGAAAAAAATTGCGAGTACACGATATCTAATAGAGTTGAGAGGCGATTTCGCCGCTCGTTCGTCTTCCTCGACGGAAATTTATTGCGTCGAAGAGTTTTCCGAGTTTCCGCCATGTCCTGGCGAATTGCGGCCTTCTACTAAAGTTGACCCTAGTGACCGCGAGACAGCGTAAACTGTCGCAACGCGTTTCCTCGGAACCGGGAAATTTCCTCGGGACTTTCAACTGGGAAACCCCAAAAGAGATCCGTATAGTCCGGGGGTAACATTTAAATGTCACCAAAAAGCCGTACCTACCCCGTATAGTTCGATTGTATATAGAAGTTTATTCGATAATTGACAGTAACGTGCGCAGTAGAAACTCGCTTGAATAAGATAATTCCCCCATAATAATTAATAATTCTTAGAAAATCCTTAATGACGGCGTCGAATAAGAAGCCCCCTCGATAAGGATCCGAGCGCATAATAGCCTGACATTTCAATCCCGGACCTTTCGACTCTCATCTCGTCTCATCTCTAATTCGCCCTTTCCCCTAATGCCCTTTCGCAAAAACCTCCCCCGCCGGCCCCCCCTTTGCAAAATATGAAACTATAGACTCTTCTCCATTAATTCAACGCTTCTCTTGATTTATGGAGTAAATTGCTCGCGACGTCTCCACTACGCCGTACAAAAGGCGACGCCAGTTCACGCGGCGCGGATATTATGCCGGGATAAGCGACGGGAAATTCGGCTGAGAAAATTCGACGAAATTAACAATAACATTGCGGATATAAACGAACAATGGACGAGAAAAACGATCGCCTTTTTTATTATTTCTCCTATTATTTACTCCTCTTTTGTCGATTCTTCTATTATCTCAAGCATAACTGATTGATTCTTTTACTGTTGAATAACTTCCATTTAATTTTCCTTATTAACATTTTTACAGGCTGAGTCCGGTACTGCAGCGAGTATAGGGCCCGATTCGAAATTCGCCCGTTTTTCATCGCTTATATTCGATTATTTATTTTGTGTAATTTTCGCGAATGAGAAAGAGCAGCAAACAAAAGGGAAAACGATGATGGTTCTCGTACTACACGAAACAGTGCAATAGGGCAATAATCGCGTTATGTAAATTCCGGGAGAGGGATAATCAGGGGTGAAAGTATCTTTTTCCTAATTTCGAGTGCTAGGGAGATACACCGGCTCAAACAGTGGCGTACGATGTACGAAAAAAAAAACCCAAAAAATTTTTATAATAGGTACAGAACTGCTACTATAGCTGTAGACGCGTTAAACGTGAATTTATTACACTCCAATCGAACTGCACTATAACCACAAGATAACCCATAAATTTATTATTAGCTTGTGCGTGTTTTCCGCGGCACGCGCATGTTTCGGGCGTCTCGACGCTTAAAAGTATTTAAACAGAGTCATCGGTAAATTAGATGTGAATAATTTAGTTCGGGGAAAATGAATTGTGTAGGGGCGGTTTTTCTTTTTCGGCGACGGAGGTTTAAATCACTCCGCTAACGAGTCGGAGAGGGCGGGCGAGTCGTTTCAAAGGGTTGGCTCGCGTTTTCCGGCCGGAAAACCCGCCGACGGAGGGTTTTGATTAATTTAATTCGATTAGATATATCGGGTTGGTTTCGTTTTGTCTGATATCGTTTTTGTTGGTTGCAGGTCCTGCAGGTCCTCCGGGTCCTCCGGGAGCGCCCGGGAAGCGAGGGCGTAAGGGCAAGAAGGGCGAATCCGGCGAAGCCGGACCACCCGTAAGTACAACATTATTAGCTGTGGAAAGCGTTTTATTTTATAGTATTTTTTGATTTGTATTTTATTTGTTCGTTTATATTGTTTTATATTTTCCATAGGGGGCAGCAGGAACGCCGGGCAAAAATGGCTTTCCGGTATATGATTTTTGTTTCTTTTATTTATTATTCCATTTTATTTCATCAATTCAATGCCTCTTTTCTCGATATTGAAAAATCGAAGCGTCTAATATTAATTGGTATATTTCAAACGAACGTAATTATTACAGGGTGTGAGGGGACAAAAAGGAGAGTTAGGCCTAAGGGTAAGAGAGTAGTGAGAACGCTCCCCTCTCCCGAAATTAATCAAATTCACCAATATTTAGTTCACCATAAAACGCATGTTGTCACGCTTGTCATAATAGCATTCCCCAACAAAAAAATACTTCTTTACTACATAATAATCATTTTCCACGACCAACGAAAAAGAGAGAAAATAATCACCGAAAAATATTTATTTATATACTGCTACAATCTGTTGCAGGGCCAGACTGGTTCGCGCGGATTTCCCGGTTTTCCGGTTTGTTTATTACATTTTGTGTAACACTTTCGGTGGTTCCCCGGTGCTCGTTTTCTAACCCACTCGATTAATTCACCCGCAGCGCCATCGGACGTGACGAATTAATATTACTGCTTGTACTATGAAACGTTTTCACGTCCGATTCGCTGAACAATTTAACCCTGCACCCTGTGTAGAAATACTCACATTCCGGCTAATCAGGTATTAATTAATTAATTAACCAATTGATATTAGTCTACCAACTAAAATTGATCAGTCGCGGGCCCATGACTCCTGTCAACCCTAAAGCCTTTAGTTTTTCAACCCTTAACTGTTACGAGATCTAGCAGGTAGAAAATTCGTATAAATATATCTGGGTAATTGAACGTTAAAGGGATTTTCTGGATAAACATGTAGTTATTAATTTAATCTCCTATCCATCTCTGCTTCTTTGGTGCTTCTGTTTCTCTTATTCCTATTCTTTGAATATTCCAGAAAATCCCTAAAACCAAACGACATGACGTCATACCCGACTGATTAATAGATATTTAACACGTCGACTACCTCGGCAGTCGACGTGTTAAATTTTTCCTTACTTCACCGCAAGCCTGCTCGATTTAATTAGCACAGCGTTTAAAACACTTAACATTTCATATTTCTACGTTGATTCGAAAGGGCTTTTCGGCGCTTTTCTGTCTCTAACCGAACCGGTCTTTCCCCCCTTGTACAACTCGATTAACTCGCTTTTTGATATTCGATCGACGAAAAGGAAATTGTCGCTTTTCCGTTTCTATTTTCTCGTCGGAATATTGCGAGGCGCATTCGGCTGCGGCATCCGCCAGCCACTTTTCCAACAGGAAATTTATACGAGAAAATCCATCGCGGCGCTTTTGCACGGCGCGAAAGCGCCGTCGGGAAATTTTTGTTTAATTTTATGCATTTTTTTTTGAGTGGATTAAAGCGAGTTTTCCTTCCCGTCGATCGAATGGGAAAATTAAAATCGGCCAGTCATTGAATGTTAATGAATTTTTTAGGGACCGATCGGGTTGGATGGACCAAAGGGAGAACCAGTAAGTTCTTTAATTTTCTTTGAAACGAGTAGTTTAATTCTTTGATAATTGTGTGTTGCAGGGCAGGCCTGGCGAGAAGGGCCAAAAGGGCCAGACGGGCTCGGCGGGAATCGACATGATCCAGGCCGTTAAGGTAGGTTGATGGTTTTATTCCGATTTTTCCGACTATCGGGAAAATCACACGATTATATTTAGAAATGTGGCTTTTTATCAATTGTGTATTTTATTTGTTTAACCGTCACCAGATGCCTGGAAGGGTGAGTAGGCTCCGTTTCTGATGTAGTTATTCGACATTTTTGGTTTTTTGTTGCAATTGTGAAATGTAGATAAATATCTAGAGTTGCAGTTTTCAAATTCATTGAATTAAATATTTTTAACAAAACTTCAAAGGTGCTAGAATGAAAAATAAAAGTGGAAAGAATTTGAAGGCTATAACAAGGTATTTTTTCTTTAGTTTTTCACCAATTACCGTTTCATCGAAGGTCGAAAAACTCATTTATTTTGGAATTTTCAGACATTAAAACGGTCAGTGACGACCCTCCGAGGGGGCACGCTGGGATACGCCGAAATCGTCGCCGTTAAGGTTTGATTCTAATAGATCCTGGAGTATTTTTATTTATTTTAGCATGCACCTATCCGTCGAGGAACAGTAGCAGTCGATTTTTCGAATTTTTGTTGTCTGAATTTTATTTTTTTTACATCCAATTACAGTAGTTTTTTTGTTTCGTTGATTTTTAGTTTTATTTTAGGGCTTGCAAGAAAGGGGGCATAACATTTCAGGCGAAGTTTTGATAACGCTTAAAGTGAGTGCACAAGTACTATAATTTTAATACACACCTGAAATAGAAACTCCTCTATAAATTTATAATTTATTTTAAATTTCTGCACGATTTACTTGTTATTATTTCTACCGAACATCTGAAATAACCGGCGTTTTCATTTAGGGAGAACCAGGAGAACCGGGTCCGCCGGGCCCCCCGGGTCCCCCGGGCGGCGAGGGCATGCCCGGCCACGACGGTAGGCAAGGAATGGCCGGCGAACCGGGCCCGGCCGGCGAGCGAGGGGAACCCGGCCCCATGGGACCGCCGGGTCCTCCCGGATTGGACGGCATGATCGGCCCGAAGGTAATTTAATTCCCTCAAAAAAACCCCCGTCTATATTTTCACTCGATCATCGTCGTAATCCTTTAGGGAGACAGGGGCGCGACGGGCGCGACCGGAGCACCGGGATATCCAGGATTGCCGGGACACATGGGTTTGCCTGTGAGATTAATACAACTTATATTTTATTTCACGCTATACTCTAAGCATTATTTCTTTTGGTTCTATCACAGGGTATTCCCGGTAGGAACGGCAGTAAAGGCGATCCGGGTCTCGGAGTAAGTTGAACAAGAACAACCCAGCTGGTGTAGTTGTAGTTATTTAACAATCGTTTTATAGGTGTAAATTAGTACTCGCGTTGGTACTCACGGCATGGGGGTCGTATATTGTACTAAAAACTTACCGTAATAGAGCTATACTTACTAAAAACTCGCTTTAATTCGGAGTATTAGACGCGTTTTAAACGAGTTTTGTATTTTCAGGGCGACAAAGGGGACAAGGGCGAACGAGGCTTAACCACTACCTTGACCGGCGACCAATTCCCCACAGGTATCATAGAAGGCCCGCCCGGACCTCCAGGTGCACCAGGTAAATGCATTTCGAACAATTCTATTCACTCAACACTACTGTCTTATCTTATTTTATTCTACGCGGGGATTAATAATTATTACCAGTAAAGGGTGGTATTAAATGTTATTGTATTGTAAGGTGAGAAGGGCGAAGCGGGACCCGTTGGACCTCCAGGAGCGCCCGGAGAAAAGGGCTCCAGGGGCAGGAGAGGCAAAAAGGTATTGCATTGCAATCATCTAGACTCTAAGTATTAAAAATCTATAAGAAAATAAAAAACAAATTGAATTTCTTCTAACCAAATTACATTTCATTGCATAGCTTCTGATGTGCGGGAAGGTCCAATCAGGCATGTCAACTTGTGACGCATGACGTTTGACACTAACTTTCTGTCATATATTGCATGTTGTACGTTTGAATGACCGGATTTTCCGGAAATTTAATTAACCACATTTTTGCCTAAAAGCATGTTTAAAATTTAATTACGTCTAAGTTAAATTAATTTAATTTCTTGATAGATTTGTATTTTTGTTAAATTTTTGTGTAGTTTGTTGTTTTATAGTATTTTTGTTTTTCAGGCACAGTAGACTAATATTTTAGTAGGTATAACAACAGCACATTTTCACTACATTTTTGTACACCGCTTATTTATTTAATAACACCAATAATAACACCTTAGTGATTAGTAAGTATTATTTGTTTGGTATATTTTTTAACTTTTAACGCTAATACATATCACAATGATCCAGTTTATTCTTAAAATCATCAAAAAACAGAGTATCTCCGATATGTATTAGACGTACAAAATCATTGTTTATCTGTATATCTTTTATGTATATGTTTTTTATTTAAACAAATTTGTAGATAGCACAGCGAGCATGTATTGACACGTCGTATAATATCCCTAAAACGGCATCACCGGAATCACTTCCGAACGTTGACGAAGCTATGTCTAATGTATGTGGTTTGTTTAGGGTCTAGATGGAGATACGCTTAATAGGGGCCCTCCGGGACCCAGGGGCGAAATGGGGTGGCCCGGTACCAAGGGCGAAAGAGGCTATAGGGGGTACGCGGGCAACCCAGGTACATTGAATTCCAAACTGTATAGTCTAAAACACGAACATCGTTCATTAATAATCGGGTTAATTCGAACATCCTAATCGATGGTTAATTTATTATTGGTGTATTGAAGGTCTGAAAGGTGAGATTGGAGTGACGGGCCCGCCGGGTATACCAGGAAAAGACGGCGAAACAGGCCTACCAGGTCCTCCAGGTTTACCGGTAAGTATCCTTCAAAAGCACCAGAACGTTTAAAAAAAATTGGTATTCTCGCAGGGATCGACTGGTGAAAAGGGCGAAAAGGGCGACTACGGGGATATCGGACCTCCGGGTCTTATGGGACCACCAGGACTACCGGGACCTCCTGGTTATCCCGGCCAGAAGGGCGAGAAAGGAGAAAAGGGCGATTCGGTAAGTTATGCAAAAGCTATACAAACTAATTCGTAGGGAGGGAGGCGCCCAAAATAGCACTAACTTTACGTATTTAATGATTAAATTGATATAGAATTTTATTTGCATAATAAGATATCTCTATCAGCATATAAAAGCTCCCCCCTCTGAATAGATTCTAAAACCTGTATAATAAACTGGCGGGCCGGGATGCGCATCTTGTCCTTCCCGGTGTTTTTCCAGTATCTAATTAGGGAGCATTTCCGCTGAAAACAAGTCCCTTGCGAAAAAAAAAAGAAAATTGCGACTTTATACTCGGGAATTCGTCTTGCTTTCGTTCGAATTCAATTTGCATATTCCTCTCGTAAAATATCTCTAGTCCATGGGCCGGATCACAAAAAAAACAAATATCGGAGCAATATAAATAGTTCGCAATATCATAAAACGCCTCAATCGAACCACCGGTTTCGTGTTTCAATAGTACCCCTAACATCGATGATTTTTCTGGCCCATCGACTATATATTCCCCCGGCGTTTCGTCAAATACTCATTTTTCTTTTTTGTTCTCGAATCGGCCGTAGAAGTACAAAAAGCTGCGAAGGAGACAGGTAAATATCGCCGAGCTTTGCCTAAAAATTTAGCTAAGAGACTAGACGGACGGAGCTTTCGCATCGTCTGCGCGTCCTCGCATCTCCACTTTATATTCATTACGTTTTCAGGGCGACGGCACCGGCGACTTCTTCACCGGCGAAATGGTAGGGCGATTTTTTTCCTTTAATTAATTTATTTTTTTTTTCCATCGGCAACTCGTCACTTGCCGAACGAGTTGCTTTTTAAATTCATCATATAGGTTTTATCAACGTGACTATTTTATTGCGCAGATTATGGGACCACCTGGACCGCCAGGACCGCCTGGACCTCACGGTTTGCAAGGTCCTCCGGGAATAAAGGGCGATAAAGGTGCTGACGGATTGAAAGGGGACCAAGTAAGAGTTACAATTAGTTACAAGTTACATTTAAAGAAGGTGGTATTAATTGTTTTCATTGCAGGGAGAGAAGGGTTCCAAAGGTGATCCTGGACCGATGGGTTTACCAGTAAGTTTTGGCTCGTTCTGGATATTCTGGATATTTAACAATGTGTTCTATTTAGGGTCCTATGGGTTTGAGAGGGGAAAGCGGAAGACCCGGCGATTATGGGAAACCTGGCCCGATGGTAAGACTACCTAAATAAACCTAATTATTGGTAATAAAACAATGCTAATCTAACAATTAACATTAACAATTAATCGATTAACATTGTATTCTGTCGTTTTTTTGTAATTAATGAAGCTTTTCCTTGGTGGAAAAGATCCCTTATAATTGTTTTTTTAATGAAGCTAATGAATTTTTCTCGATTTCGTGCGATACTTAGGAGGACAATAATTGGAGATAAGGAAAATTTGGAAGATAAATCGAAGCAAAGACGGTGGGAGGTGTTTTGAAACACTTGAAATTTAATGGTTTTTCACTAATTTTGTACCTAACTGTGTTTATTTAAATCCGGCGAATTTATTTATTAATTATACTCGTATAGAAAAAGCTGTTTGGTATAGCACTCACTTAATTAATTAGGTGCTTAGGATATTCCGAATTTTCTCCATTCTATATGTAAAGACAATAAATGGCTAATTTTCTCCAAATTACAGTACCAAACGGCTTTTAGCTCTCCAATTAAATAATTCTCCGGCAAAATTGTCGAGAGAAACTTTATTTTCAAAAAAAATCTGTACCTACTCTAATTCTTCGACTAGCTCTACGTAATTTTAATCTATTTAAAAACGATCTTGTGTACTTATAAGCCTATCGGACTATTAAATTAAATTTGTTATAAATATATTTATGAGCTATATAAATATAAGTATAATAAAATCTTCTGCTACTACAATAATAATACTTGACGTTTTTCCCTTTGCTGTACAAGTTGCAATAGTTATCTAATTCGTTTCTAAAAAATTTTCATTTCACAAATTAACATTTTGAACGTCCAATGCAGTATGTACTTGAGAAGTATAAATATTTATATTAAACAATTGTTGGAAATCAGTATTTCGCGTATGAAATATAGATTTTTATCGATTCACTAGTAAATGTATAAAAAAGACTTAAAATCGGTATTTTAAGGTTACAATTTACTGTAAAATAAATGTTAACAATGTAAGTATATGCAGAAAGAGGCGGCAAAATCGCATAAACTTTAACGATTTCTAAACATTTCTCGGCATTTGTGCCGCCTCGTCCTGCATAATAGGTGTGTTATAGTACACGATTTACTATAACTGTACAAATTCAAGAAGCCTTATCCGAAGAATATATTTTTCTACAATTTTTCGCACCGACAGGCCTTTCGACGCTGCCCCACTTCCTCCTACCCCCAAAACGATTTCGTTTCCTCCGCGAAATTTCGGCATTTCGATATGATTAGTGAAATTTCGATAAGGCTTTTTGAAACAATGTGACTGATAAAGGCTTAAGGTTGCAAACCTGTGAATTGTAAGATATTTTTTAGATTTAATTACTCGATTTATTTCGATTCGTTTCCGATGTAACATTCAAACGACGTGTACGGAATTAAATGTTTGTGCATGTGCTGTAAGTATTAAACGAAGCTTTAATTTATACATTGCTTTTGTTGTGGCTTTTCTAATCCTCCTTTCCCTATTAAATAATTAATTTTCTTTTGGGGGGAGAGCGGCGTATTTTTTTAATTTACCCCCCGAAGCTTGTACGTTGAAATTGCTCGTATAAAATACTAACATCGTTCGTGAAAGCATTTTAGACCCACGAATTAATTTTGCGTTTTATTTTTAATTATTTTTTTTTATATTAATTCCGCAGGGTCCCCCCGGGTTAGACGGGATGAAAGTAAGTTAATTGAATTTGCCGCAAATAAATAAGTAGTAAATCTAACAAAAAGGGTCATAACTTTTTAACAGGGGGCACAAGGGGAGCCCGGAAATAAAGGAGAACGAGGTGACCCGGGTCTTCCGGTAAGTTTTCTCGAATAGAATACCATCCGTGAGTGATTAAAACTTAATTTAATTTTAGGGTACTGATGGTATTCCTGGGCAAGAGGTACTAACTTTAACACAATTAACGCATGGCTAATTCGAATAATTTACTAATTTTTTAAACATTCGCTTCGTTTTATAAAAGAAATAAATCAAATTAACCGTTCTTTTAGGGCCCCAAAGGCGATAAAGGTTACAAAGGCGATGCCGTAAGTAAAACAATTATACCGTTCACTAGAACACTTTACTAACGTACTAATCAATTGTGAATTTGACGCGTACTAAACACATTTACACACATCATCGGCTTTTATAAATTCAAATTCTCGCTGTGTTGTTCTGATTCTTCAATAAATTACAATAAAATTGCATTATTTCGAAGGGCCCGCTGGGTAAAAGAGGAAGAAAAGGCGATAAAGGCGACAAAGGGGACCAAGGAGTACCCGGTTTGGACGCCCCATGTCCTTTGGGCACCGATGGGCTACCGTTACCTGGATGTGGCTGGAGACCACCGAAAGTAAGATTCACCCCATAAGTAAAAACCACTACCCTATATTTCTAAGGTCTGGGAACAGTCTATAATTTTGCATTAGAAAATGTCTCGTTATTTGAAGACTTTTTGAGCTTGACTTTTGCGCCGCACCGTGGCGGACGATCGGAGGATCAACTTATCTCAGCCAATCAGCGTCGCGATACATACAAATCGCGGTTGTGTGAAATGACAGTTCGAGCTGTCAAAACTTAAAAAATTATTTTTTGACATTTCGAGGAGAAAATAGAGAAATACATTTACAAAATCATCGCTGATTTAAGTATATTTTAATATATTTTATCGATTTTTAGTTTGAATAAACCTTTCTTAATGGTAATGAATTCTTTATATAATTTTATGTTTGTAAACAAAAAACCGTGATCTTTTAAAACATCGCCTCCTATCGGCCGTTTTAGAAACCCTGTTTTATGTCTTCAAATAACGAGACACTTTCTCGACCTATGTTTCCAGACCATAGAAATATACGACCGTGGTAAAAACATCGATTTATACCATTCATACTTTATAGTTCTACACTACATTCATCTAAATAACATCTTAATCTTGCGATAGACTTGCTTCGGTGCATTTAGATTTACTAGTGTCTAACAGCACGGGTGTCGGTGTGATTGATTTGCAGGAGCAGCCGCGTCCGGCGCCGCCGCCGCCCGTCCACGTGGACTTCGACGAGGAGGAGGCCGTCGACGAGGGCGACGACTACGAGGAGGTGGAGGGCGAGGATTACGACGACTACGCCGAGATAAACCAGGCGCTTCCCGCCGACATCTAACCGTACTAACCCCGATATCGCTGGTTCTAGGTAATCGCTAATGATTCCTGATGATAAGTTAGTTCCGATAAGACTAGTTACGGATGGTTCGAGAATGTTCCACGCTTGCGCGATGTAGTTTTACTTGTTTAAGAGTAGGTTTGTGTTGGAACTAACCTTATAAATAATCGATTAACATGCGGGTTATTGCTTGTGTATTTAATATTTCAATTTATTGTATTTACACTATTTTTTTTTTGTTATAGATCAGGCATTAATATTGAATCATTGAATCACCCCCCCGCAGGACTTTTGCAGTACTTATTGTGAAATAAGTGGTTTGAAATGTTGTACATATAGTGTTTGTTCCCTGAGACTCTAGGGATACCTAGTGATTTTCTTCAGTTGTGTCAAACTTTAAATTTTTGCATGTGAAAGGGTAAATTTCTGTACGAGGTGTCTCATCATTTTCGGTTATATTTTTTATGGATAATTTAGCGTTTAAAAATAATGAGACGCTTTTTTTAGGCGCTGTTAATTGCAGTAGGTGTAATTTTAAAATGTCCATATAATTTATACTAAATGTAAATAATTATTCTTAGATCAATTACTAATATTTTATAATCGGTATACCTATGTTTGTGTTTTTATAAAAAAAAATCAATAGAAGAGACAAAAATTATTTACGAATTTGATGTTGTACATTTTTTTAAATAAAATATAAGAGTTTTTCTTCCTAGTTTTATTATTTGTCAACGGGTTAAAAACAAATCCACTTACACAAAATCATAACCACTTTTATTAATTTAACAATTATTTACAATTCAAAAACGTATCACTAATCCACTGATAATTTATTTAAGTAAAGATAATCTTGAGCAAATTAACAACAGGCGCTTCGAACGCCAACGATATAACGAACGCCGTCAGAAACGACAACACCAAATTTCCAAAGTACACTACAATCTGAAAATACCAAACGAAACTTACACGAAATTCACTCGCCTATCGAAAAACTCACCGCCATCGACTGATGCAAATGAAACGACCCGTCCAAATGGAAACTAATCAGGCACATCAGCACGGGATGCACCAGGTAAGCGCAATACGTCAATCGGCTCAAAGGCAGGAATAATTTCGAACTTAGAAACGCGTTCAGAGGACCCCCGTGTCCACTACAACACGCCACCGTTATCCAAGCGATGGCCAAACCCCAAGCGGAATGCCCAAAAGCCGCCTGAAAATACCACATTATTAATAACCTCTTCAATTCCTTATTATCTTATAATTACATAAAATGCAGATGTGGGTACGGTTAAACCGTTCCTGCCCAATCCGTACACCAACACACTCAAACAACCTAAAGCCAGGAACCAACCCAAAGCGTTCGTTCCTCTCGACATCTTAATCTTCGAGTCCATTTTGAACAGGAAATACCCGGCGCATATTCCAACCAAATACGGCCCTATCCTCAACCAAGGTTTATCGTACAATTGATCGAACAGAGCGAAGGGCTCCTCCACGCGAGCCACGTACTCCCATTTCATCGCCACGACGAACGTCGTCACCCACGAGGCGCCCATCAACAGCGCTATTATCAAACCGACGAACTTCGCATGCCTGGCACTCCTGCGGATTTAGGAAAAAAGCATTTAAAACACCACGAAATATCCTGCTTACCTAGCACCAATCAACAGCATCGCCGTGGCTATAACGTAAAATTGCGTATCGTTGGCCATGTACCACGACCACAGCATGCAGAACTCCTGCTGCGGGAAGAAGTTGTTCACGTAGAGGACGTTCCGCCACCAGTACTGGTCGCAGCTGATGTGGTCGATGATGGCGGGCGAGAAGACCGAGTTCGAATGGAGGTACCGCATGATGATCTCGTTCACGGCCAGGACGAACAGATAGGCGGGAGTGAGCCGGAAGAATCTGTACGAAATCATCATGAAGAAGGAGCCGACGTGACGTTTGGTAGCCACGAGGAACGGTTCGGTTGCCGGAGGTTTGTCTTTCTTCGATTCCGATCTGAAGTAGGAGACTGTTACCAGTAGGCCGCTGAAAATTGCGCTGGTTAGAGATGATTGAATCGGTGGAATGTGAACGCTTTACTGACCTTATGAAGAAAAACGTGTCCACCGAAAAGGTGGCGTTCGATATGGTTTGATAGAGGAATCCCCTTTCCGTTACTATTCTCACGTTTTTGTTATCGGCCACGGCGAAGAGCTCCAAATAGCTGTGCACCAGGATGATCCACGCTATGGAGAAGAACCGCAAACCGTGCACGCATTTAATAGACTCCAACGCCACGTCCATGGACAGGATCTTCTTGCCGTTATTGATAGCAGAGAAGCATAATAGCAGCTTGAGGAACAAACCTAAAATATGTACTTTTGTTTGTATAAAAAATTGGGGATTTTGATTAATTTTTTTCAATGCGAACTTACCACCATTATCAGCTTTTTTCTTTTCATCGGGAATAACAGAATTTCCATTCGGTTGGCCAATAGTGCTGATGAATTTAACGCCGTTGTTGTTCTGTAAGCGCCTGCAATCCCCATCAGCGCTCCTTATTCGAGGTTTGAAATAATCCACGACAGTGGAGATTAGAATTAATCCGAGCAGTACGATCGTGCAGCCGCTGCAACGCGATAATTACAAACAACTCGAACGTGGAAGGAAGGTGTAAGGTAATTAAAATTAATCCTCTCACCCGACAAGATGGAAATGCCGATCGCCGAGCAACGAATAATCGCCGGGAACTTTTCTCACGCCCGCTATGCTCACAGATGTCGCCCGGTTGCGCTCCCGCACGAGGAGCGATCGCACTCCCGACGTGCCGCAGGACTTCGGCAGGCATTCCCCCACGTTCAGCTGCCTCGTCTGCCGGAAAAAATTGCCATTATTCGCACCTGAAATGCCGCTAATTGCGCGGTAGCGAACGGGGCCCGTTCGGTCCGGGGGATCGCGTTCGATTCGGGGCCGCGCGCGTGCACGTTTAAAAATTATTGCGCTTGCCTGTCGTCGAACGTCGCGACGCCTCTACGTCGGCGGCGTCGCGGACACCACGATGCTGCAACTGTTGTTGCGCCTCCAGGAACTTACTCCACACGAAGACGCACTGGTCGCCTAAAGGACAGGATAGCAGGAACGCGAGGAGCTCGAGGCCTGGGCCTCTCGCTTTCCTGATGTACAGGGCGTCCCGAAAATCGAACGAATTTTATTTATGTGATTCATAAAAAATGACTGTGAAGCGGCTAAATAGTCTTTTAATATTTAAAATTTTAAGTTCTATAAGGATAAAAGTTCAGATAATTTATTGATTCATACGTTATTTAATAAATTCTTAATTTTTCTTTCAAAATAAAGGCGATTTTACTGGTAGACCTTTAGATAGAACTCAATAGGGATATACATAAAATTATAAGACTTACCACAGGGGTGGATTTTCTGTCGAGGTTTATTCTAACTTTGGCAACGTAAAATTGGACAGGAAAGGGTGGTACATCAGTATTGTATTCTGCAAGGGTTAATTCTTTGCAGAGGCTTTTCGAGCCTAACCAGTAATCGTTGCCGAAGAAGAATTGACCGGAGTATCTTCCTGATGCATCGTACACTGTGAAAAAAAAATCTTGAAATCAACAAACTCTTCTTCGCAAAAATATGATAATAGAAAACCGTAGAGGCGGATTATGAGAATAGGAATACCGTTACAAAATAACGACTATTTTCGCGAAACTGTTATCATAACATCTAGTACGCAATAAAGTAGATTATGTTTACTCAAAAGCATTCCACTAACGTAACAATTAGAAAAAAGCAAAAACAGGTCTACCGCAAAAATGCTAAATACTTTCTACTTAGCGCATTAAAGTTGGAAAACACCTTAAGTAAAGAGATCTATCTGATGGTTAAGAAACTAGACCGGTTGCAGTTACATAACGAAACTTTGTTGGCACTCGCGAATTGAGATTGTTCTACTTTTGGCGCAATTTTCTTTAACAACGCCGCAGACTGTAGGCGAGAATTCGCTAAAATAAGTGAAAGGTTATAAGGAGAAATAGAGAAACGTGTAGGCTAGTAAGTACTTACGAACGACCGTGAATGAAATAAAGTTTTATATCGCGCGAAGTTTCGCTTAATTATTCAGAAAGTTGAGATTATTACTCTTTATTCTTCGTGATCTAAATGGGTACCTACTTCAGCAGGTTCCAATAAATTAATACCTACTTAATTATCTTCATTGGACCCAATGCACTTAATGCTAAATTTCCTACAGGATTCTCGATAATTTTCTTACTCTTAACGGCCCAAGTGGTGTCGTTGGCGAGCTCCCTCAGATACACCATCATGTCACTTTTGCACAAAGGGTTGTCCAGCCCGTCGAGCCGATTCCGCCACTTGTGGTGGTCGTAGAGCCGGGAAAACCACTGGAACTGCGACCCGTTCTCGGAGCTGTTGTCCCCGGCGGGCGCGTCCACGTCCCCCTCGTTCGCCGGGAACTGTATCCCGTTGGACAGATAGGACAAATCCGAGGAGTTGTAGGTGAATTTCGCGTGCAGTTCGGCGGTTTCGACGCACCGCGACGCCGACCACAGCACTATCACCGGGATTAGGTACATTATTTTTTTTTTCTACTGGGAGTTTTCCGAAGAAAGCGGACCGTTGGTTTTACAACATTTTTCGCGCTGTACGCGTACGTTTATCACATCGTACGATAGGAGCAGACTTTCGATTTTCAAGCCATTTGATAGACTGGTCGGTGTGCATTTGAGCCCCCACTGAGGCGGATTGTGCATAGTTGCATTTGTGCATAGCACGGTCCAATTCGGTGGATTTTCGGATGCTCTTATGTACCTCATTATTGTACTATTCAAAAGAGTCTTGTGTCTATTCAAGATAACCAATTATCCGTCTATTATAGGCCTCGAGTTTCCCACGAAACGAAAGAATTATCTACCTGAGAAACGGAGTTTATTAATTAAACATTTCTCGGGCTATAATGGAGAGAAAGGTGAGATGTATTGGAACTAATTCCTCGATCGAATGGAAGTCGTACGTATTCAATTTTTCGTTTTACTTTTATGTCTGTGATGTAAGATTTCGGTATGGTCGGAATTTCTGTTAGATCATTGAGGATTTTCACAATATGGAATTTCGCTATTGGCGCGCTCAAAGTGTTAAGTGGAATGATAATTGTGCATTCAATTATGCACTTAATTTGGTGGATCAATTTATAATTTACTTCCAGGCATACAAATTAATGGAAAAATAGTGCAGAACAATAATAGCTATAGATTTAAGACTACTAGGTTGATTAATTTATTTAGGTACGAAGAATTTTGTAAATATTTTTATAATATATTCACTGAGCTCATATAAATTTCTAATAAATTTAAATTTCGCAAATGAATTTCTATCGAATTGGCGATTAGGAAAGAACAATTTCAATTGCATTGCGGCGTCGAAGTGCAATTATGCAATTGAGCAAACGAAGAAAAATTGCTAATTAGAAATATTTATTAGTTATAATCTTAGGTCGGGTTTATTTGCCAACCAATTCGGCTTTCACCGTTTATATGCATAGTAAAAAAATCGAACCAATTCAGAAACCGACGTTGCCAAGTCGAAATTATCCTGAAATTTCGTATAAACGAATGAAATGTTTCTAATTATTCTGCAAAAATAACATTTTTAAGGCCTTCTTGTAATTCCATTACATCGATTTCAAATATATTTCTAGTAGTTTTAACTAATATTCGACTACAATTAAATAAATAAATAAATATAAAAGAGCCGGTGTCACAAGTCTAGATCGACTACTAGATCATCCTCTTCCATATCCGGAGGGACGTACTCCTCGTCATCCTCCAACGATTCGTCCAAATTGTTCAGCACGTCGTTCAATATGGAATCGATGTCCACCTTCCTCACCCCATCGTTCCACACCTCCTTGATGCTAATCGACTTGTTCCCCGACGTGAACAACGTCGCCGTATCGTAGTTATCGCTCTCCACCACCGATTCAATCAGCGCCTTCATCTGCTTCTGGCTGACGGGGCCGAAGTAGCAGCACCGCTTCGCCCCCGCCGGCTTCCTGTTGGACAGTATCTGGAAGAACTTGCACGACAGTATCTTCACGCCGCTGAAGTACAGGTTGGTTAGGTACTTGCAGTTCCGCAGCATGCGGCAGAGCGTCCGGCTCTCGAGCAGCTCGAAGCCGTCGCCGTCGGAGCCGATGGGGTTGTCGATTTTCAGGGACTGGAGGTTCCTGCAGCACTTGGCCACTTTGAGGGCTATGCAGTTGACGTCGCTCCGGCCGATGAGCTCGAGCTCGGTGAGCAGGGGGGATTGCTCCAGCCAGTTGCAGAGCGTGCTCGAGGGGACTTCCTCGGGGGCGGATATGCGCTTCCAGAGCGTCGGGGACGAGGCCAGGTGGTACCATCTTCGGCATACGAGTCGTATTATCGTGTACAGTTCTTTCTGGTCGAAATAGGAGAATATGTAGGTTAAAATCTCGTCGGGTAGCAGATTCGTGTTGTCGAAATATCTCGAGCGTTTCTGCGGCACGCAGTCCGCGCGACTCGACGATTTTCTCGTGCGTTTAACGCGGTCGTTCATTATTGATTAATCAATTGATTACAGGATTTGATGGGTTCTACTAAAATTTTATAGCGAAAGGGATTATTAGTGACTGCTTCGACATCTAGTGACACATTGTAACTAGATTGTTGTCGACGATTTGCCTGCTGTTGAACGAAAATCTGGGAAATTTGTGCCTGGTTCGTCTGCAAGCGATGCGAAAAGTCCAAATTTTGCTTTACATGACACTAAAATTAGCGAATTTTGTCGATTAAAATCGCCTGTCAAAAATTTTAAATTTGTCATTTTTGACATTGACACCTGTGAGGTGTGTTCGTTTGGTGTGGAAAGGTGTAATGTAGTGTGGAAAAAGAGCAATATCATTCGGCTCGAAAATGCAAAAATTACATTTGCATTGATCCGATGGAAACTAGGAAGTACGAACGTGTAACATGAAGAAATCGAGATTACCGTAATCACTGGTTTTGCCAATAATAAAAATACTGTTTTCGATCCATTCTCGGCTATTATGTAAGAATAATATCAATTAATACGTTGATATATAGGTGAAATCAATAGAACATACGGTAAACAATCGAAAAGATATAACAATTTATCAAGTTACCCTTACCCGATTCTATGACAAAACACCTTGTATAATTTTTTATTAGTAGGCAATTAAAATTTCAATTATTGGTCTTTTCGAAACCATGTCTCGTTCGAAGCAACGAACTTCCAATAGAATTTAATTATAGGTACCTAATGGGTAATGTCACATAATGGAAACGAATCAGGAATATATGTTTATACTCATGCACAATGGCAGCCACAACGCGGTCGGGTCGACAGGACAACTTTCTCTCGCTTTTATCGTCGTTTATGTCATCCGATCCGGCTTAATTTTTATACAGTTTCCTAATTAATATTGACGACGAATTTAAATAGCTTCATTTTTTTAATGTTTAATTAATGGGTAATTCTTTATTTAATTTATTAGCGCCTTAGACTCCAGGATTCGTAACATAAACAATGTCCATAGCACTCCACAACAATGTAAAACTGTCAAATAAAACAATGTTCTTAGTTACTCCATAACAACAATGTACAACTGTCAAGTTAAAAGAGACAGTAAAAAAGACCTGTAGAACAATTTAATATTGTAAATATAGTGCCGAATATAGGCAGAGCTTTTATCCAAATAAAACAATTATTTTACCTTAACTTTTTATTAGTTATCAAATGAATAAAAATAACCTATTTTTTAGTAGCAGCAGCTTCGTCTTCCCTCTGGTAATTCTGCAAAACTTCCTGCTTCTTAGTAGCGATACGTTCTTCGCGTCTTTCCCTGGCCCGTTTGACCTAAACAAATAATCAATTAGTCAAAGTATAATTACCCAATTACCGTCAATTACCTTCATTCTCTTGGCGTTCGCTTGGTCGGCCAACATCTTGGCACGAGCCTTCTCAGCCTTCTTCTTGTGGATGTATTCCATCAAGACACGCTTGTTCTTGAATACGTTACCCTTCGCCTTCATGTACAGCGAGTGGTACAGATGTCTGTCGATCTTCTTGGCCTCACGGTACTTTTTCAACAAACGACGAAGAACTCTCATGCGTTGAATCCATAATTCCTAAACAAAACCGCTCGTTAATGAATCAATAATAGCGAAACCATGCGTTTAAACTTACTTTTCTGGGTGTACGAGCGTTTGCTGTACCTTTCCTTTTACCGAAACCACAGTGCCTGCCCTTCCTGCGGGCTTCGGTGTTCTTGCGGACACGGGCACGCGAGTGCACTGCTACAGGCTTCTTGATGATCAGACCATCTTTAATCAACTTGCGGATGTTTTGTCCTGCAGACAAAGGGAGGATTAATAAAAGATTGAGGTTAGGTGCGTGTGGTGTACTTACTTGAATTTGTATTGGCGATTTCGTTGATTTCGTTAGGATCCAACCATACCTTCTTTTTACCGCATCGCATAACAGAGGCGGCGAGCCTCTTCTGGAGTTTTAACGAACTGAAATGATAATATTTTTATTAGTTACGGCATGTGGTGAAATATTAAGCGAATAATACGGCGATTGTGCGATGAAATTTGCGTTAAAATGATTTTATGTCGATAAAATATAATAATTTGTATTGGAAAAGTGCACTATATAAATTATAAAACGCATTTTTAGTAATTAAATTCAACAAACCTCATTTTTCACACGCTCTTAACAACGTGTATCCGAAAAAGAAATATGGCTGCGATTTTATGAACTGTCAATGTCATAAAAGTGAAATCACTGCTGCCAACATTTAGTTTCTTTAATATTAAATATTTCTCTAGTTGAATAGGCAATACTCATTACATATTAGTTTTCATATATTTTTTTATGAATTATACTCGAAATTTCTCTTAAGCATAAGTAAAACGAATAAGTGCATCCATGTCTTTTATTCACTAAAAATAAAATCCACCAATACAATTTTTTTACTAGAATTTCTTAGCAAGCTATTTACAAAACATTCTCAAAAAGTATAGGCAAAATAGGCAGTGGGTGTAATAGGAATTCGATTTGTACACTAGTTTCATAATTTCATGCGCTTTAATCGTATCAATTTACAAACAAATCGGCCAAAAGAAATGGAAAAAGTACAGTTTGTAACAAAACTCAAAAATTTACAATAAAAAAACCATTCTAATAATCGTCTCCTCGGGAAACCACTTCCTTGCAAGTCGGTCGAAGCATAATGGTGTGCTCGAATTGAGCCGTGTAGCATCCTTTGATGTCGCAAAGCGGCGGGTAATCGTCCACGATACCTTTATCGCACAAATCCTTCAAAGCCATTTGGTACTTCGTCGCACCAGCTCTATCCAACCACCTCTTGCAGAACGCTAAGGTTCCAAAGTTTTTGTTTATGACATTTAAAAGGCCTTTTGAAGATTGCAAACTGGAAACCATAATAAACAAATATATCAATTATGGAAGGTCATTAGATATGTATTTACTCACCGCAATGGCACATATGGCACGTCGAAATTCTTCATGTAGTGAGAACATTCCATATCATCGTGTACAACGCCTCTACCTGTAGAACCGAACGTTTCAATAGCGTAAAACTCATTCTCTTCCATCACAGTGGCTTCGCCACCTTTAACAATCGGCACGGTCTTCCCTGCGTGTATTCTATAAGGAGAAATCGAATGTCCATTCAAATTACGAATGGATTTAACCTGGTACGTTTTCCCGTCTAACTCCACCTCGTACGATTCCATGACTTCTTGTATCTGCTCACCGATATCACAGAGTTTCACGTCAATTCCTTCAAAGTAAAACTCGTGAACAAGCGAATTCGCTGGGTTAATAAAAATTTACCTGCTGCTCTGATTCCAGTATTAGTAGCGTCTCTTACGGCCTCCACTAATTTATCGTATTTGGGATTAAAGGTGTGCGTAAACGCGCAATCGATAATCCTCCCGTTGATGTGAGTACCGAAATCGATTTTCACCACATCGTCGTATTCGAAGACTGTCTTATCACCGGCGTTCGGAGTGTAATGGGCGGCGCAGTGATTCTTCGAACAGCCCGTAGGGAAGGCCAAACCGGCCTTCAAACCGTTTTCGGCTATAAGTTTCCTGGCCGTGTTCTCAAGTTCTTCGCAGATTTCGATCATGGTCATGCCGGGTTTTATGAATCTTTGAATGTGTTGTCTCGTCTAGAAAAAATAAGATTCGAATAATGTACAATTTTACGCAAGTCTAGTGTGATTAGGGGTACCTGTCTATGCGCTTCCGCAGCCAATCTCACTTCGTTATAGATGTCATTGTGCATGCGATCGAGGGCTCGTTTTTCTTCGGAGGTGATCCTATCCTTGGCTGATCGGTCATCTTTGCCGATGATTGGATATTCCTGGATTTCTCCGAGGGGGTATACCCCGTCCGGGAATAGTTCGGCAATGGCAATCGAAGGAGGATCGGTTTGTTTCGGTTTGCCACCTTTCTTTCGGTTGCGCTTTTTCTTCTTCTTCTCGCCTTCGCCGTCATTTTCAACTTCACCGTTCTCTGCGGGAGCTTCTTCTAAAGCATCTCCACCGGATTTATTGGTATCACTGGTAGCGTTCGCCTCATCGAGGATCACTAAGAGATGACGAAAAGGATTGAATTTAACGAAATTTGCATCTAATTTTAGGTTGTAATAAGTAAAAAAAATTCTACTACACGTGATCGAGTAGGAACTATTTCACTTACCATTGGTTTTTTTCTTCTTTTTCTTTTTCTTTTTTTTAGTTACGTCGGTGCGCCCGGATTCTATTTCATCTTCGACATCGTCTTGATCCTTCTCGTTTTCTTGTTCCTCCGGAATTTCGGTTTTTAACGCAGCCATTTTTCCTTAGGCGAAGTTGCAAAAACACGCTAATAAAAAAGTTAAATAACTGACATGTCAAAACAAAATGTCAAACAAATGTCAATGGTTGTCAAGTGTCAGTTGAATCGGATCTGTTCGATTCGTGTTCTGTTTTACACGAAAATTACCTTGTCATCTCTTTTTAACTCGAAAGAAAGACATAGATACAATTCATTTCATATGTAACTAATGAAAAGGTCATTGTGTCATCTCTTGTCATTATCGTTTCTCATGTCTTTTGATTTCTAATTCAACTGGATGTCACCTTTAAGGGTCGAGGTAAAAATTGTAAAAAATAACTGAATTAATCGGATTAACAAACTGCCAATTAGCCTTTATAAAGCCCAACGGAAAACTAAAGTAATAAACGATGCAGTCTTCTATTTTTAAAGTAATTTCATCGACAACGAAGGTAAAGATTTTTCAACTTTTACGTAATATTATAACTAAAATGAGCTGAAAAGTGATAAGACATTCGTTAGTAGTTTGATAATTGAGTTGAAATTAATCGATTACGCCATTTCAGTCGGGTCTGATATACAACCAAAGAATATTGGGAAGCTTAGCCCAGAAAAGGTACTATTCTAGTTCCGAAGAAGCGGATATAGTGGTCATTGGCTCCGGGCCCGGAGGCTATGTAGCGGCTATTAAAGCCGCTCAGTTGGGCATGAAGGTATTTTACACTAAACTTATAAATTATTTCATTATTCTACACAAAATACAATTTATTTTCAGACTGTATGTATTGAAAAAGATGCAACATTAGGTGGTACTTGCCTGAACGTTGGCTGCATACCCTCGAAAGCTCTACTCAACAATTCGCACTTCTACCATCTGGCTCATTCCGGAGACCTAGCTGAACGAGGAACAGAGAGTAATTTCACTTGCATTGATGACCGAATTATTATAATTCTTAATCGATGTATTATTTTTTAGTGAGTAACGTGAAGTTGAATTTGGAAAAGCTTATGGGCCAAAAGACGAAAGCTGTAACCAGCTTAACGGGCGGCATTGTCCAGCTGTTTAAGAAGAATAAAGTCACTCTTATTAAAGGTCGCGGGAAAATAACTGGAAAAAATCAGGTGACAGCCACTAAAACGGAGGGAGGCTCAGAAGTTGTAAACACCAAAAACATTCTCATCGCTACTGGATCTGAGGTGACTCCATTTCCAGGAATAGAAGTGAGTAAAACTTTAAAGAGAATTTAGCAAGGTTACTAGGTACAATTTTTAGGTCGATGAACAAACAATCGTATCTTCAACTGGTGCTCTCTCGCTAAAAGAAGTACCCAAAAGACTCATCGTTATCGGAGCCGGTGTAATTGGTTTAGAATTGGTAAATAGTTCAATTAAAATTATATCAAAATAACTAACTATTACGCTATCTTTCAGGGTTCGGTTTGGTCGCGTTTGGGTTCCGAAGTGACCGCCATTGAATTTTTGCCGAGCATCGGAGGTGTCGGTATCGATGGAGAAGTAGCCAGGACTCTTCAGAAAGTACTCACCAAACAAGGTTTGAAATTCAAACTGAATACCAAAGTTACGGGTGCGAAGAAAGAGGGAGGCGTCGTTAAAGTCGATATCGAAGATTCTAAAGATCCCAATAAAAAAGAAACGGTAAATACAGGGTATATTTTATTCAAGTCCCTTATTAAAGTTTCGGTTTATTTGTCATGTTTCAGCTCGATTGTGATATTTTATTAGTGTGTATAGGAAGACGCCCGTACACAGAAGGCTTGGGATTAGAAGAAATGGGCATTGCGAAGGACCAAAAAGGAAGGATACCGGTAAATTCGCACTTCCAAACGGTTGTTCCTAATATTTATGCCATTGGAGACTGCATCCACGGTCCCATGTTGGCCCATAAAGCAGAAGACGAAGGTACAAACATTTCACATAAACTTAATGTTAGTAAGATAGGATTTCTATGTATTTAATTTGCATAGGTGTTGCTTGCGTGGAAGGCATAAAAGGAGGACCGGTCCATATCGATTACAATTGTGTTCCTTCTGTTATTTACACTCATCCAGAAGTGGGTTGGGTTGGTAAAAGTGAAGAGGATCTTAAAAACGAAGGTGTAGCATACAACGTTGGTAAATTCCCATTCGCTGCTAATTCCAGAGCAAAAACCAATAACGAAACTGATGGATTTGTTAAGGTAAACATTCGCCTATTTGTGTCTCATTATTTTTCAAAATCTAAATAAATGTATTTGTAGGTTTTAGCCGACAAAGCCACCGACAAGATTTTAGGTACCCATATAATCGGGCCTACTGCTGGTGAATTGATCAACGAAGCAGTATTGGGGCAAGAATATGGAGCTTCGAGCGAAGACATCGCCAGAGTGTGCCATGCCCATCCTACATGTTCAGAAGCCCTTAGAGAGGCCAATTTAGCAGCGTATTGTGGAAAACCTATTAATTTTTAAGTTTAACGTCATCGCGCAATACATACTTACATTTTTTTAATACCTACCACCTTTCTTTTTGTGTATGTACATACTATTAATTTTATCAGGATGTGTATACTTGATTACTTGTTACATAAATATAAATTATTTATTTCTAGAACGAGTGTGTACTATTAAAAAAATGGTATTAACATTACAAATTATTTTTGTAACCTAATTAGATACGAACTTAAATATTTCTACAAACTAATTAAAAAGAACTTGTCGATTCTTGTATAGATTCGATCGCAGTAACTTGAGATTCGCCTTCTTCTAGACAAACGCCGGTTTTATTCAACCCCGTTTTAGAAATATTAACATCTACATCAACATTATCGACGCATACATTTATAATTTCCAGGTTGTGGGGATCAAAGTTATTTTTCCTAGTCACCTTATCCAAAGGCGAGATGGACGTTTCGTTTGCTATGCACTCGAAAATACTCCGAGCCCTTTCGATCACGTCCTTGTCCAAGCCCAAAGCTTCGGCGACGTCAATGGCAAAACTCTTGGAGATGCCCTCGGTGAGTTTGTACAGAAAATACAGCACGCCATTTTCGTTTGTATGCTCCATTTTCTGGTACTGTATCGAAGGAGATTCGGGCAAGTATAGGTGGATATTTTGAAAATGCGTTACGTTTATAACGTGCGGACAATTCGGTCCTCTATCCAGAAAATGCTTCAGCGCCCCTTCGAGCAGACTGATCCCTTCGGCCTCGGTCGTTCCCTTAGCAAATTCGTCCAGGAACACTAAAGAAGACGCATTGTTGTCAGTCAGAGCATGAGCCATCTAAAATCGACAATAAACGGATGTTAGGAAGTGCATTTTGCAACTTTTAAACTACATTTAATTCAACCTGGGTCAAGTCTATCATGAACGAGGATAATCGAACAGCGGCGCTTTCTGTTGCTTGTAATCTCGTGTACATGGTGTCCAATAGGTTTATATCGGCGCTGAAACAAGGCACGAACGAACCCACGTGTCCCATGTAAATGATTAATAAAATTTGCTTCAAATAGACGCTCTTTCCGCTGCTGTTCGGCCCCGTGATGATTTTCATTCGACTGTGAGCCCCGCCCGAATAGAAGTCGTTGGTTTGGAATTGCTCTATCATTTCTTCCATTAAAGGGTGCCGGCAATCTTTGAGTTCGAAGTAATTTTCCCTGTTCAATTTCGGTCGTTTGTATAGTTTTATCATGGCACTCATAGCCATTGATATTAAACTAAAATGTATGTACAGTGAATTTTATTGAGAATATTATGTGAATGGTTTACCAATCGATTAATCCTACTACTTTCAATGGTTCTCTTATATCTTTGTTATATTTTATTATAAATCCCGATAGCCTTCTCATAATCCTGTTTTCGTGGTCTATTATTTCCAAAATTGTGTCGCCTAATCGTTTATTCAATTCTAAAATAATACAAGTTTATAACGAAAATCTTAGTAATTATTTCACTAAAACAACCTATGCACATGGCGTTCTTGTAGTGAATCCTCCCTCCGATTTTGAACTGCAAAAATTAGATCTATTATAATTGAAACGACAAAATTACTTATTCACCATGAATTGGAAACCCAAATGTTCCAAGTCTTCGGGAGAACAATCCGTTTCCCACTCTTTTATAGAGAGCAAATGTCCCATTTCTGGTATATAAACCACTGAACATTCGTCCAGGAAATCCGGCAGATTATCCGCTGCGAATCTAGCCGCGGCCATTACATCATTTGTGATGTCTTGTCTCCTCAATTTCTCTAAAATCAAGACAATAGAAAGTGTTCCTTATATAAATCGATTTATCCACTCACTTTTATCCAATTCATTATCCAGTCCGTATTTGATTACAGGTTTACCGTGTTTCTTACTGGCGTCGAAATCTAAACCGTTGGTTATGGAGTCTTCTAATCTCAGTAAATTAGGCGAGACTTTCTCGTGAAGATCCATGAGCAACGAGCAGTGCTCGATGTATGGGGAACTGATGTCTTTCATAAATATCGTATGGGTAATAGTCTAAAATTAACAAACATAACATTCTCTTCAGATAATCAACAATTTTTATACCTTATACAGGACGTGCCAATCTCTAAGTTTCGCTCGGGAGTTCTCTATTCTTGTCAAAATTACCTGTAAAGACGATGAATTGAAAACAATTGATTGTGAGGATTAGAGTGTATTTACGTTTATATCACCGGCGATACCCTTCAAATTGTCTCTCAAACTTTCCACAAATTCTCTATTGCTAGGATTCAACACAAAGTCGATAAAATCGAGGCGTTTGTTGAGGATGTCGACGTTATTCAAAGGGTTTAACAGAATGTTCCTGTAAAATAATTGCATTACAAATTGTAACAGGAAGGCCCCGTTTCGTTTACTTCAAAGTGGTTAAACCTAGCTTAGACTTGCAATTCATGGAAAACAATTTAAAGATGCTCAAGCCTTCTCTTTCGCTAGATTGCGCGCCTCTTTTGAACCCAGCTTCATGACCTCTTTTCGAGAATATTTGCAGGGCTTTAAACGTACCGTTGTCTATCAACAAATGATTTTTCCTGCAATACAATCACATTAGAGTACATAACTCGCTAGGGTGAGTTTCTCCACCTCGATATCTGATTGATGTGTATGTAGCACAAATCTTTCTTCTCGCTTATGTCGAATAAAGACCAATTTTTCTCGAGGAACTTGACCAGCGTTCCGATGGCTTGGAGCGATAGCCTGTTGTCAAAATCGAGGAATGAATGAATGTAAACCTCCTGTTTCGTTTCCGATAACTCATCTTCCAACACCGCCAATTTTATTTGGGAAATGATGGCTTTGCAGATCTCGTAAGCTACGTTTAAAAAATATTGCGTGTATTAAGTGTTAAGAAATTGAAGTAGTAAGACTGACTGTATTCCTTTAAAGGAACCAAGTAGAGGTTCTTGGGTACCGGTACGGTTTCTGTAGTAGTGGTGGAATTCAAGCAGCTTTCTCCGTATAATATTATTTCGGATAAAATTTTAACGAAACCCTCGGTCTTGCCGCCGATTGTTAGGATGAATTTCGGCTCGATTTCGCGGAATAAACTCACTGTGGCTAGATACTGAGGCGCAGAGTCCATTATCTCTTCGTAAACGTATAGCTGTATAAATTATATGGGTAAGTGCAGGTTTGTATAGTCAATTCAACGAGTTGAACAAAGAAATGTTATTAAAATGACAGTGGTTAGAGTGAGAAATTTGCAATATAACTTTTTCTTTTTCCTTTATATGAGACCAATGGAAGTTGTCTTTGTTGCACCCTATAGACTATATTGCGTACAAATTTGTACTTATCTGTTGATATTGAATTGAGAGGTATTATTTATTTATGTGAAAATATTTATACCTGTTTGTCGGTGAAATTATAATAAGCGGCTCCCAGCTTGCCATGCCTGAACAATATGCAAAGCAAGTTCGAGGATTCATCTGGGTTACTGGCTTCTTGCGCGGCGCTTTGAATCGAAGACTGTACTGTATTGCAGCTCTCGTCTAAATCGATCGAATTTTCTATTATTGGCCTCCCTTTTACAGTACATACTGTAATAATCTCGGTTTTCGAAGAAGACATTTTTTCTCATTTGAAAATTTAAATTTTTTGTGACATTGACATGTGTCAGTCATGTCATAGGTTGGGAGAAGCATACTTGATAAAATGCGTTATAAAATCAAAGCAACTTGATTTTGATGTGGCTAAATAGCAAGTAGCATATAAAGTTGCAAAATGGGACTAATAAAAATTAAGTAATCTTGGGCTGTCGACAAAACTTTTATAATAAACAGAAAAAGAACACTTGTACTCTACATTGTAAATCGATAAAAATATTTTTTCTTAAAATTACACGTAATTAAAATTGAATTTAACTGTTTCAAACTAAATATTTAGCTTGATTCGACAAAATTAAAATCTTTATCTAACATCCTGCCCTTTTAAAGGCATCCATCTTTATAAAATTAGAATTAAGAACAAATTTAAATGCTATGTTACGTATCGGCCGGATCGTACTGATGTAATTTTATTCTCCACTGTTTGATTAAACCGTCCCATCCTCTTCTGGAATATTTCATAAACTTGTTAGGAGTCTTCGGATCTTCCACTTTTCTTTCGTTCCTTGAAGCACAAAACATCAAATGTAATAATTGGGAAAATACGAGCTAACAACACACTCACCTTGGCACCAGTTTTATGTAATTTTCGTAACCAGCAGTGTTCCTCCCGTAATCGATTTGCTTCTGCCGCCTTGCCAAAACCTCTTCATCAGTTTCCAGTTCTTGCCTTCTTCGTTTACTACAAATAAATTCGAATATAACACAGTAAAATATAACCTGAGAAGATCACTTACTTAGGTACTCGATGATCGTCTCTAGACCCTAAACGTTTCTTCACAGATTCCCTGCCATCGTCAGTCACCTTCTCGCCTAATCTGTCCCTTACCGATACTCTCGGTATCTCGGGTGGGTCAGGTGGATCTAATTCTTCATCATTTGAGTAGTCTTCTGATTCTTCTGATACGGGTTCAGTCTCTTTGAATGACCGTTTGACTGCTCTTTTCACGTTTTCGACGTCTTCGAGGTACTGCTTGGGCAATGGGCTGTCGAGGGTGAATTTTTTCAACAGCTCAGTGTTAAATGGGGATGAATTGGCGTCATCGTGTGTTATTTCTCTTTTAATAGGTGTGGATTGGAGCAGTTCTGGTTTGACGATGGAAGTGTCTACGTTATTGGTGCTTGAAAGAGGGAGTGAATCGTCTAATTCGCTGTCTTCGATGGGTTCCTTTTTAACGTGGATTTTTGTGAAATTGTCACTGGTTTCAGGTGGTTCTGTTTTGGGTTCATGTTTGACGGGTCTATGCAGAGAATCTTCGAATGTATCGTCCAATTCTCCCTCTTCTTTGGTTACATTTACGGTTTCGGTTTTTGAGATGTTGAAGCATGTGTTTTGATCGGGAAGTAAATTCAGGTTGTTGTTTAGAGGGAAACCCGCAGTTTCCGCATCCCACGAGTCCTAAAACAGTTTTAATTAGATTTATAAGCCGCTGGAAATGGAATATGGGACTTACGTCGTCGAAAATCCTGGCCTCTGCGAGCCTGGCGTTCATCGATAGCCTCTTTGTTTCCACTTTATCAGACATCGTTACGATTTTTCTCACTTTAATTTACCATTTACATAATATTTCTCACTCATACAAACATCCAACTCGTGGTAAGTAAACAAGAAATCCAACAAACACTAACAAAATATCGTTTGCTTTTTATCAAATCTTCTTCACGAGCTTCGTGAACTAAACAAAAAAACAACTTTGGCGCCAAACGTCAATGTCATTTGAATATACCTCTTTTACCTACTAGTAGTTCATCTGTAATATGTCAATTGAATTGACGACAGAACTTCAGATTGTTTATATTGTATTATTTTGTATAAAAAAGAAGAATTATTTTATAATTGTTAAAAAAAATCTTATATATTTTGTTTTATGTTATTATGAATACTATGTATTAAATTACTTTATAAAAATTCACAGTTCACAGATAGTTCATAGTACATAAATATGAAATATTATTGACATAGGAAATATTTCAACTTTCATACCTGCTTTTAGCCTTATTACTTTAATGATAATAAAGGTGTGGCATTATGAAATTAAAACTAAACTACCTAATTTAATTTAAAGCCTGAAGAGATAAAATCGAAATTTAACGACTATTTTAGTCTCTGCCTATTTTCTAATTATTATTTACCCGCAATAAATAAAAGGTATGCAGAAAATTCCAAAATTGCGCCATCGAAAACTGGGAAAAATTCCCTGCATTGCTGTTTTTGGTTAAGGTGAGGACGCATTGTTGTTATGTTGAAAAAATGTATCAAAAATGCCTTTATCAAATTACGACGTCACAACAGTAGCAGCTCCTCGCTGATATCGCGAATATCACAACAAAAGCAGTCTCAGTCAAGTTCAGTTGGTGACTGCATTCAGAAGGTTAATCATCAATCGTCACATTTCAGAGGAAAACCGTCTAGAATGGCCACAAAAGAGGAGAAAAGCAAGAAAAGCGTGTGCATTGTGGGTAGTGGAAACTGGTAAATTATTTTACATTGCACTTTTAATCGCTTTTCATTCATTACACCCGCTTGCTAACTCTATTTTATTTTTAGTACAGTATTATTATATTAGGTAATTTTAACCTTGAGTACATACCGTATTTAATCCTTTCAAGCAAAATATTTCCCGATTAAGTTAACTTTAACACTACAGTGACTTTTTTTTAATTTAAAATTTTCTAATTTATAAGAAATGTGAGGTTATGCCTTATGCCTCCACCTACACACTTTCTAAATTACCCCCTTAAGGTACAGTACTTATGTAATTTCCACAAATTAAACCTAATGCAATACATATTCCCTAATAATTGCATAATAAATATTTATCCTTTACTGTACATATGCTCGTAATAATTTATTTATTTGAACGTTTTAGGGGTTCCACTATCGCTAAAATCGTGGGTCACAATGCCCTGAAACTGCCTCACATCGACGACAGAGTGCTGATGTACGTTTACGAGGAAATGGTAAACGGAAGAAAGTTGACTGAAATCATTAACGAAACCCACGAAAATGTTAAATACCTGCCGGGCCACAAGTTACCCCATAATGTGGTATGTAGAATTTATTGTTTTATTAACTTTAAAGTCAATCGAGGTGGAAAAAGTATAATAGGTACTAAAATTCGTATTATCGTAAACTCTATACATGGAATTTGATACATTTTTTTGGTACGTTATACCTGTTTGTTTAATTTGAATTGGATTGGAGAGAATAATTGTCTGTAATTTTCCTTTTATTACACACATATTAAATTTTATCCGTGTTCGTTGCCTTAAATAAATTAATAGAACCTCGTTTGTTGTAAACAGACTACTAGTATTTGGCACTTATATTAAAGTTTCAACCATAGCAAACTTTTTTTCAATATTTATTTATAGCCTATAAATGTCGGTTCAGCTTTGGTTATGTAAACAAATAATGTAGAGATAACGACACGATAAAGTATTATCTCACAAGAATAGTGTTGCGTAAAAAAATAAATTAACACCAGTCATGTTTTTTGTACATGGTTTATTGAAATTGTAACCCTTAATTTTGCATTAATTGCACTTTGCGATACACCGTAAATATAGTGTAATTTGAGCAATTACGTGTAATTTAATTCGCATTTGACTTTATCAAATGTGTAATATGTTTAGTACATAAATTGCATTTACTTTCAATTAATTATTAACCGTATGGTTACGAAACTTGTTAGATACCAAATATCAAAGTTCACTGTTTATTTACTTACCGAATTATTTTTGTTTGATTACAATAAAATTTTTTAGGTGATAATTCAAATTTATGTAATATTAATCAAATATTAAGTTTAATTAATTAAATTCCTAATATTATTCTTAAGTATCTTACTTGCAAATTTGGTTTAATCTTGTACACTTTAAACGCCTTGTTAAAATACTTAATAAGCTAGTGCTTCTTGTACTGTTTAGGACCTGCAACTCTAGCAAAAGAACTATTGACCAATGCAATATTCATGAATAAAGAATTTGTTAAAAAAAACAAATAGGCCGTATTTATAAAAATAAGCATAACCATTTGTTTCAAAAAATGAAGGAATTGCTTCAAGGTAAATGCTTAAAAAGAAGTGAAGAAAGAGATGTTTTGCGTCAAAGACCTTGCTGTTGCTTTAAAGCAAATGGTTTTATAGTTTTAAAACCTTTTACTTCAAAGTAAATGCTTCATTTTTATAAATATGAACTAATGTCTTGTAGGTGGCAGTTCCCGATGTAATACAAGCAGCCCGAGACGCGGACATCATCATCTTCGTGGTGCCCCATCAATTCGTACGAACATTAGCCGCAACTTTGCTGGGAAACATCAAACCGAACGCGGTCGGTCTATCGCTCATCAAAGTAAATTTACACCTTCGCACGATTAATTCGTATATTACACGATAAAATCTCGATAGGGCTTCGATTCGGCCAAAGGCGGCGGCATCGATCTCATTTCGCACATCATCACGCGCCACCTGAAGATCCCCTGCGCCGTCCTGATGGGCGCCAATCTCGCCAACGAAGTGGCCGAAGAGAAATTCTGCGAGACGACGATAGGGTGCAAAGACTCCGCCATCGGGCCCCTGCTCAAAGACATCATCCAAACCGATTATTTCAGAGTGACTGTAGTAGGCGATACGGACACGGTGGAAGTCTGCGGCGCCCTCAAGGTACTCATCAAAACATCACAAAATCGACTGTAATTAATACAGTATCGTTTGGTAGAATATAGTGGCGTGCGGGGCCGGTTTCGTGGACGGGCTGGGCCTGGGCGACAACACCAAAGCGGCGGTGATCCGCTTGGGTTTGATGGAAATGGTGAAGTTCGTCGACGTGTTCTATTCGAGCGGTAAGTTGTCGACGTTCTTCGAGAGCTGCGGCGTGGCCGATTTGGTGACGACCTGCTACGGGGGCAGGAACAGGCGCATCAGCGAGGCGTTCGTGAAGACGGGCAAGACGATCAGGGAGCTGGAGGAGGAGATGTTGAACGGACAGAAGCTCCAGGGGCCGTTCACCGCCGAAGAGGTGAACTACATGTTGAAGAGTAAGGATATGGAAAACGAGTGAGTTGGTTTGGTGGTGTACGATAGGAGTTGTATTTAATTTGTTGTTTTTTTTTTTAGTTTTCCGTTGTTTACGGCGATTCATAGAATATGTACGGGTCAAATGCCGGCTACGGAGTTCATCAATAGTATCAAAATGCATCCAGAGCACATGTAAGTGTGCTTGTTTTATTGTTTCTTTTTTGGGTTTTTTTTAACTCTCTACTAATTTTGTCCGTTAATTTTTAGTACAAACTTGTTGTTTAGGTAACCAAACTGTTCATTCCTGTTTCAAGTATTGTTTTTGACTTGAGGTATTGTCTATAAACAGCCTTTATTTACAGGCGATTTATATATTATACCCAATATATAAGAATGAGTTTCATACAAATTTATCTTATTACGTCCGTTAAATTATAATTTTTTTTCCAATATTGGGTCGGTTCAATTTATTTGTATGATCTAAATTGAAGAGCTCGAACATTTTGCGAATCCAGTCCATTATTGAATTTTCTTAGTAAACGAAAAAATGTAGGTAGCGAGTTTATTAACCGAGCTTAAATTTGTTAAACTTTGGAAATTTTATCGGTGCGACTTAGTTTCGAATAGTAGAAAGAAAAATATACTGTTAAGTTTAAGATTTTGACGATTTTATGAATTAACATTATATTTTACGGAGGTTTTATTCAGAATTTGCATGTTTATTTACCGTTTAAAAGAAACATATCAATATTTTAATGTTTTATTTTTTTAAAAACTAGGTAGTGATTTTGTAATGGTGTGCCATTGATTACCAAATTGTTTGGTTTTTATTTTTTTTTTATTTTATTATTTTTTGATGTGTAGTTTAATATACGTTTTATTTTTTGTTTTTTTTGCTTAGAATATTTACTAGCTCTTAATTTAATTATTAATTATTGGAAAAGTTTCTCGTTGCAAATAATTAAATTAGGAGTAAGGTAGCTGCTATTACTTATTGTTTTCTAATATTTGTTGATTTTATTTTGGTTTAACATTATTTTTTTAGAAATTTTATAATACCCATAATGTACACCTTACTTAATAAAAAAGTTCCATTATTTGAAATACTAATAATTTCATTTTTTCCAGGTACGTTCCCAAGTGCCTCGCTTTTTCCTAAAAATTCCTGCTCCTTATCAGTATCCTGCTTACCCCAATTTGTATACTCATTTTTACTATATTGATATTAATAAATTTCGTATAAAGTGTTGATGAAATGCCCATTTTAATTTAAATAGGAATTTTTGAAGTTTTTTTACCATAGTTTGTATTTGTATTATTTTTTTTCGTCAACGTTTTGTTGTTTTAGGACACCTAAGTATGACGACATTGATCCAAGAAAACATGATCATCACCATCACAATAGTAAACTTTAACAAACTTAGAATCAGAATCATCGTTCTCTGATTTTTGCTACATATATGGTTAAAAAGTTTTGTTATTTTTTTATATTCACGCTGTTCAAATAAAGTATACGTTAAGGTATTAGCTAAAGCATTTTCTAACAATAAATTCCTTTAACATTCATACTCATTTTTCTACATCTCCTTTAATAATCAATAATTCATCTTGAGTGATATTTATTTATTTTTCTTTCTTTTTTTTCAGGGTAAAATATTAGTTGTATGATATTATACTCTCCTAAATAATTCCAGTTCGTTACCAACGAATTTACGATTTAGGCAAATATATTCTTTATCTAGTCACTTCGAGTTGCGATTAAAATTCGAGTTATTTTCATTACCTATAGTTTTATTTTCTATACCATTCCCCGTTGGAACATTCAAACGGACACCCAGTTCCTTTTCCTTACACGATATGATCATTACCACGACCACGGTCGTATATTTCTAAAGCCTGGAAAATGGAAAAAGGTCGAAAAAGTGCCCCGAAAATAAAACGGGGTTCCTAAAACGGCCGCTAGGAGGTGATGTTGTAAAGGATTACGGTTTTTTGCGTAGGAATTATATAGAATTAGCATTAAGAAAGGTTTTATTGAAACTAAAAATAGATACAAAATATAAATCGGCGATGATTTAATCGGTTAATGTTTTTTTTCATTTTCTCCTCGAAATGTCAAAAAATCATTTTTGAAGTTTTGACAGCTTGAACTGTCGTTCCAACACGTTTGTTTCAAATGACCTATTCAGTTTACGAAAGAGAGTGATGGAGTTATTTGATCAACATAAGAGAATAAAAGAAGCAAATATGTTTCACGCGCAATCTGTGGAACCATTTAAAATCTGCGCAAACATAAGTGCAAGAGAGATGAGATATTTGGCCTATTTCATTGCTGATTGACAGACACATTGAATGATTCTTAGATGAAAACTGTTTAAAATATAAAAAAGAAGAGACCATTATCAATCTTAACATTCTTAACCCTATTTTGTTTCCGTTTGATGTTTGTTTATGTTCAGTGTGTATTATTTTTAACAGTATTTCTTTGTATTATTTAGTATATTTATTTATAAAGGTAATAATTTTTTGTATAGGTCAATGGGATTATTTTTTTGAAATATATATTATAGCAAACCGATCAAAAAGCATTTTCGGAAACTTTGTACTAACCCTCTTACTCTTTCTTAGACTTGACTTGTACGTAAATATTAAGCCTATAACCCCTTTCTGGGCAGTAAAAACAAATTTGTATCGAGTCACCGCGTCCATTAAATCCGACGGATTGTTGGATAATGACAAATGACGTCTTAAGTTGTCGTTGTCTGGTTGTCAGAACCGTATTTTACCTGAGGTGCGTTCGTTTGTTCGTTTAGATGTCCAGCTAATTGTCCACAATATGCGCGCGCAGCACAGGTTAAACTGAATAGGTCAAATGTGTCGTGTGACACATTCTCTAATACAAAATCATGGGCTGTTTCCAGATCTCAGAAATACAGGGCCGTAATCATCAAACCTAATCTAGATTCTAGAGATCGAAAACAATAAAAAAACCCGTCATTTCGCCGCCCCAAAAAAAACTCGCAACCCGAGCGAGTGATTACAGACAGAAAGAAGAGAAACACCGAGAGCGAGCGGGAAGAAGACGGACGAATAACGAGATAAATGGTAAATCGAATGAGTGAACGCTCGCGTACAACATTCAATAGAAATGTGTACAAACGCAACGTACTCTTATCGCCCCCAACACCATCCCCCTCGCCCCGTTTTAGTCCAGTCACACTCCCAAAACACGCTCCAAGCAAGTACCCGGTACTTCTTCAGAAGATACAGTTCATTTTGTTTCAAAGAATCGTTAAACAATAAAGTTTAGTAATCTATTTAAAGGTCTATAAATAAGGATATATTCTGGAAAGATCGAATCTATACAATAATGTTCTTCTAGATTCACTTATAGCTCATATAGCTACACACCTCAGTTTCATTAAAAACCCTCAGAAAGGAGCATATCATCCTCTCCAGTTAGATCGGCTTCGAAGGCCTGGCCTAAAAGCGGGGCCCGTACGGCATGAGCGCTCCAGCGCTAGACGAGGACGGGCGGCATTGGGGCATTGATTTGATATTCGGCGGTGGGTCTGGCTCGGCGGCTTCGCTGCCCCTGCGTCGCCGCCCCCACCACTCCCCTATACGGGATTCCGAGTGCACAAGAAAGCTCTTCTCGCCTTGCTCGCGGCACCGCGGGCGCACTCTCCGTGCAAGAACGCCGGCCTGGCGTTGCCGCGTCCCCGGATCAATCCGGCATCTCCGGAGTTATACGCTAGAATTTTTCCAACCCGGCTTAAACGACTTAAACCCTTGGAGTTTATGCATCGCTATGCCGGAGGCGCGGGAATAGAAAAAATTGTTGTATCGGGTGTTAAAGGGGTGGAATCGGGGAGTCTCGCGGGTGGGCTCCGCGCCCTAATCCGCTAACCCTTTTCCCTACATAGCGCTGTCGCCGACGAGCCGGCAACGTCGCCGAAGAGCAGAAGGAACGGCGGAGGAGAGACCGAACGCGGCCGGAATCGAATAATCAAAAAGTCATCGCATCGTCGTCCATGGCTGCGAACGTCGCCCGTGGTTCGGTTCGCGCGTGAAAAACCAAGTAGATTATCGACGATTACCAAGGGGTGCGATCGGCGACATTCTCCCCGGAACAAAAGGAGGACTAGCAGCAGGTAAAATGAGGCTGGCTGTGTTCGTGTGCGCCCTCGCCGTGCTCGCGCTCGCTTCCGAGGCGAAGAGGAAGAGGAAATTCGAAGGGGACTTCGAATTCGCCGAAGAGGTGAGTTTCACGCGGTTTATTCCACTTATTTTGCTGTTGCGATAGATTTTTGCAACTGCAACTAGTCCACCCCTTTCGGTGTTTTGAAAGGGGATTGCATTAATTGTGTTTATTGAAGCATTTCTCTTCGATTGCAATGTACCTACCAAATTTCGTTATCTTGCTTTTTTATGATCAAAACAAATATTGCACGATGATAAATAAAACGCCTACCTGTAAAATATTAATTGGATGTAACGTATTTGATGATTTATTTCTCAAAACACACCTACACTCTAGAGATTTCGAAATTTCCAAATAGCAATACTTATAATACCTTTATTATTATAAGAGTATACGTAAACAAAACGAAACATTTGTCCTCCCATTCGTTTCAATTTATTTAACACGAACTTTCATTAATGTCAATTTACTGGACAATCCAAAAATGAGTGCCAAATCGAAATCAAACACTCGGTATAGTCCTTGTTGATCATGCTGATTACGATGATGAACACAAAAATTAAGTCAGTTAAAATATACAGTTAATACTAAATAATTTAGAGGTACCTACATAAAAGTTATTTTCCACACAAATCCACTTTGAAATTTAGTTTTTAATATCTTATTAGGTCACCCGAATACCAATAACATTGACATCACTCTCCTCTCCAACTCCTTTTCCACATTCTCCCGTGACATCCCCATTACATCCTGTGCATTTTTCCGGACTAATAAAATCTCGTAATTAAAGGATCACCGGATGGGAGCTGCGCCCAGCCCGGAATTTCCGGCGTTCGACGTTTGATAAATAAAAACGCGTTATGCATTCGTAGTCCTCCCGTTTTCCATTCGTGTATATCCATTGGACGTTCGTTAATGGAGGAATGGAGAGCGCGATCGCCCGCCGCGATAGCGCCGCATCTTTTACCTTTTCGACGATAGGTAATCGTAAAAACAGGCTCTGAAAAAACAACGAGGCGTGGCCGTTTTATTTGAGTTATTCGGTGAGAAAATACCTGGGGTCACCCGCTAATGCATTGTCGAGTTCACGTCGGAACAGGATCGTCTTCGGGGGTTTTTTGAATTCCCCCGAAATGAGGGAATGATTTATAACTAAACGTATCCCGTTCGCTAAATCCCCGTGATTACGATAGACGAGGCATTATTTGGAATAATGCGGGGAGAATGAGTCGAATTTCGCGTACAGAGGGTGGATATATTCACAATCCAGATTACAAGTTCTGATAAACGTTTTCGCAACCTACATTTTACCTAATTTAAACTTCTCAGAGACATGCCAAAGGGATATATCTCTTATTATATCGTATATACCCTCATCTACGCCGAACAGTTGTTTTAGAATCGTTACATAACGCAAGTGTATAACCAGAATGTCGATAAAAGTAGGGAGAAACTTCATTAAATACACACACACATAGACCGTCTGGCTTAACGAAACGGATTTTCCATTAAATTTCCACTCTATTGTGGCGCAGCCCATTGAAAAATCCCCGACGAAACGACCTAATAAAACGCGGGCGTACCTACGCCCGTTCCGTTTCTCATTTCACACTGACCTATTTCGTTATGGGCCCCCGATGGGTTCCTTCGGCAGGAATAAAATATAGGACGCAAGGCGATCCGGGGCCAGAAGCCGCGAAATACACTAACTCGTTGCCAGAAAATGAATAATTGAATAGGGGATTTAAGGCGGCCTCTCCCGAAACCGTATTATTTCACCGGCATGAATTGTTAATTGGCGCATTAAATCCTCGCAATTGCATCTAACGAGTTAATTGTTTAATAACCGCAATAAATGTCGAGAGGATCTTAAGAAATTAGAGTGAACAACAGGACGATGTGGTCGGGAAAACGAGAATAAAAATACACCCCGTCGTTGCCCGGACGATTCCATAGGTAATGTAACTATTTTTAGAAAAAATCGAATCGAATTCGTTCTTGGGAATATCGATTGCGATAATACTGCCAAACCGAATCACCGAGAAACTCCTACGGATTCCTGGTAAATGGAAAACTGTGCGAGATTAATCCTAGAAACCGTGTCGCTTGAATCGCTCCGATGGAATCTGTAAGTAGGAAGCAGAGGTAATAAAATACCTACTTTTCCAACGGTTATCCCGGCTCAATTGAAACAAATCTTTATTGGACAACGGACGATTTAGATTACAAGAACGCGGCCGCCGTTCGAACTGTATCCGCTCCTCATAATTTTGAATAATCGATGAGGGAGAGGTTTTTTTTTCTATCGGCACGAACGGGGGACGCAGGTCAACACGGTGTGTTGTGGAAAAATTGCCCGCCGGCCGCCGAGGGAATTCGCGTTCTGTAGACAATTTATCTTTCCATTTCGTTTCGTTGTGGTCACGGCGTTTTATTCTCGCACACGAAAAACACGCCCGCGCTTTCCCGTCCTTCGGGGATTCACCTGCGCTATTTTTTATTAATTTTAACGCCGCCGGATCAAACCGAATTTACTTCAACGCGAATGCTTCCGATCCCAATAACACCCTCTTCAAATCGAATTCCTCACATTTCGCTAACTTTTTACATTTTTATACCGAGCTTCTATTGCTTAGCTCCACTATAGTTTCTTCAATCTCATTACTACAATTCACAAGCGAGCGCATACACAGCATTATAAACCAATTTCAATCACCCCTTGCAATTTACCTAACGCACTTAGCTCCCTTATTAGAGATTAGTGCCCGTGTTCCTCCAGTAATTTACATTAACATTATATGCGCTGGGAGCTTCGACTCCACCTCTTCAACACCGACATCGAACGTCTGCTGCACATCCCCGCATGAATCATTTTTAATGCCCTCCAGTGCGCGATCTCGCATGTATTCCGGGGTAAGCGATTTCCGGAGCCGTTGCACCGGAGGATTAGAAAAAAAAACCGGGTGATATATTAAAGCTTCGGCTGCAGCGAGTGCGGGAAGAACGCCCCGGATCCGGTACTAACGGCGGATGGAAATGGGTAATAATTCGCGCTAATACGACAGACAAAAAACGTATGCGATAGGAAAATGATAATAAGAAAGTGGCGGATGAAGAAGGTTGCGAGTAGTACGGAGGAAGTTGATAAATTTTCTGGCGTACTTAAATGGGATATTGGTGTAATTTTAGGCTTTTCTCGGTCTCGGTTCGGGCGTCGAGTCATTTCCCCGAAAGCCGGCAGGCGGATTAGGCGAGGAAGCGGAGCGTCCGGAAAGAAATTTTCTTTATTTCCTCCGCCGTTTGGATGGGATTCCTGCGCCGGCAGGAAGCCGTTGGCGCGATTTTCGCGGGGAATAGCGCCCGGTTCGATTGAGGGCGGCTAATATGAATAAACGATTTTCGATGCTTCTTCCAGTTTCGCCTTTTTCCGCGAATGAAGGTGGAACGTAAATTCGATTGTGTAGAGAGCGAATTCGTCGGGTTTCCATTAGACTCATTAAGGCTCGCTCCGTTTAGCCGGGATTATTATGTAAACTAGTCTAATTATAGTTAGGGTTCGGTAATGAATCTTCAAATTTATAACAAGTGTGATTAATACTAAGCGCTGAGAAGTTATTCCTGAGATAAGCACTGCTCGAGTACGGAGCTTTCATTCCCGTAATTTTGCCTAATTGAAAACTTGAATACATAATATGCACGGCGCTGTTACAAAGTTCTATACATATGATTCAATTTACTTAGACTAAACCATTATTTTTGTTACAGGATGATAACAGATCTAGCAAATCTGTAGAGAAAAAGAGATGGATTCACGACCCTTCGAGTAAGTTTTCGCAATTTTTATTTAATTTACAGCTACAGTTATTTACATCGGGCTGTATGCATATAAACTAAATTACCATCTTGTCGAAAAGTCGATTTTTTAACGTCGACTCCCCAGTGCAAATAACCCCGTTATTAATTCTTTCGCTCCGTTGCCCTTCATTAATCTTCGATTTTGCATAAAAAAATAACGGTTCGAAATTCGATCAATCCTCCGGAATGTATCCTTTGTGCGATAAAAAAAATGTGGGTCTTTCACTGACGCTTTTCTTTCTATTTTTTACGCAATCCGTTTAGGCGATCTGTGCCGGCCGTTGAATTGCAAGAAAAAAGAAATCTGCTTACTGGAGGACGCCTTCACAGCGGTATGCGTATCCCGAAAGGAACTCAAGAAAAACGGGTGAGTATAGCGAACGCAGTAGCGCAGATTGAATTTTTTATTCAAGTGTATAGAATTTAATATAACGCTACACGGTTTGTGGGTGTTTGTATGATTGGAATGGCAATTAATAGGCAGCGAAAGTTCGGTACAATTGGGGTTGCAGGTAGCAATTAATTGTTTCCAACTTTTCGAATTATGAGCCAACCGAGTGTCTTCCAATCGAATCGATTACGGGGCCAATTTAGTAGAGATAATTAATTGTGCTTTAGAACAAAACTTTGTAGTTAAGAAACTCGAATCATATCTGAACAAGTTCATTTCTGTTAGACAATAAAATAGCGAATATATTCTTTTCTAACGCAGCAGATCTACTACCAACCACACTCACATTTATAGTTCAAAAAACACACACACAATGGTTTTTTTTTTGTTTCCTCGGGTCCCTTTTGTTCGCCCCAGATAAGACTTAATCTTCACACAAGAGCCGCCCCCCGGTCGACCTGCCCGTGCCGTCGCGACGATGCTCCTTTACGTTGTTAGTTCTAATCAGCCCTTTTCTTTCGCTCCATTGTTAGTCCCTTTTTCCTCTTTCGCCCGGCGCATATTCGTCGAACTCGCCCCTCGGGCGCACTTAACCATCGGCGCTGGCTGGTGAGGAGGTCTCGGCGAAAAATCAACGCTTTTATTTCCATGAGCAATTTCGGAATAAAACCGAACTGTAATCGCTTGGTTTGTTCCTTTATAAACCTCTCTCGCTTTTGTTCCATGGGAATGCGACGTTTGCGGGTGGGATACAGGGCGTTGCGTTGGGAAACTAGCACATGGAATGCGCTGATAAATTTTCCAATTAAATGCTGAGGGAAAATAAATTTTATAGGGACATTGTGGTACCGAAAACTTCTACCGAACCGGAGGAATCTAAAGATGAAGACGACGACGTCTTCTACGACACCGAAGATGATCCCGAGGGAGACAGCGAAGAACTGGGAGATGCTGTAGTGTAAGACCATACGAAATTATAACGGGCTTGCAATTTAATAATCGCAATTATTAACAGGTGTAAACCTTGCCCGGTGGTCAAGCCGATATTCTTGTGCGGTTCCGATAACAGAACGTACAGCTCCCTCTGCCGGCTGGACTATCACAATTGCATTCACAAGTCGAGCATAAGGGTGGGTTGCAAAGGATTCTGTCCGTGTTTAGGTAAATGGAGAAACGCGAGAGAATACTAGCACTTAATTAATTCGATATTTCCAGACGACGATTTCAGAAAGAAACAGAAACAAACCGAGAAGCTGAACTTGTTCATGAGCAAGTACAAGGCAACGTTGGACAAATCAGGCAGCGGCAGTTCCTCGATAGGCGGGAAATTGAACAAGAATCCCCAGAAATCCGATTTGTACACGTACACCCCGCAGGACTTCAAATACGATAATAAGCACTACAAATACATCAAATACACGAAATACAACAAGGTTCGTATATCAACATCTACGAGCTTCAATTTTTCAATTGCGCAATTTAACATTTACAGGACGCCAACAGTATTTTATACGCCGAAGACAAGGAACGGCTCAGAGGCTACAACGAAGTGCTGGATAATAAGATATACAGCGGCCCGGTTCTCGGCACCCCCATTTACCCTCCCAAGCAATGCTCCCCCACGGCCTTGCAAGCCATGGGCAACCGGCTACTCGACTGGTTCTCCGTGGTGATGAACGACGCCACCAAGCGAAGAAGAATGAAAATCAAATCTAAAGGTACAAAACACACCCATCTATTTGAACGCTAATCAATCGCTTGAAGAGTTTCTTTGAGCCCTCGGTTACTCTATATGAACAATGCTGGAGACTTTGCAAACGATTGGTTAGCGTTGGGTTATCTGCAAGGATTTTGCGATTTTTATTGTGCTGTCGTTCGCAGTGCGTTTCCCTGCGGCGTGCAAGGGCGAGGTGAGATGGATGTTCCAGCACTTGGACACCAACGCCGATTCGAAGCTCTCGCTGCAGGAGCTCTACGACCTGGAGCACGACCAGAACGAGGTGTGCCTGAAGCCGTTCCTGCAGCAGTGCGACGTCGACAGGGACGTGGTGGTGACGCCGTCCGAATGGTGCAGGTGCTTCCAGAGAACGGAGCGACCCTGCGCGGCGGTCAAGCGCAAAATCACCGCCGATTTGCTGGGTAGGTACTGTTTAAACGTCTCCTTCCGGTAGTGGTTGAAGTTTATGATGATGTTGAAGGTGTGTTCGTGCCGGAATGCGACAGCCAGGGGTATTACAAATCGGTGCAATGCCATAGTGCAATTGGAATGTGCTGGTGCGTTGATAAGCACGGCGTGGAATTCGCCGATACTCGTACGCATTCCAAGCCTAATTGCGGTGAGAAGTCTATCATTTTTTTTTATAAACAACAATTATTATGGTTTGTATTTCTTTAGAGTCCATCATGAACAAGTCGAGTTTGGATTACTCGGCGAAGCAAATGAGCAATAGCGTGGACAATGCGAGCGATGATGAAGATGGAGACGATTCCGGCGATCAGGAAATAGAAGGCAGCGCCGATCATCCGGCGGATTATTAAATTAAGTAATAATACCTGATAGTAATAAAGAGTAACGGTGAGGAAAATAATAAATGAAAGAAACAACACCCTAAATATCCGTTAAGAATTGCCTGCTACTACTTAATAATCTTTTCATTATGACCTAATTTGTACGGCTTAGAGTTGTTTAGGATATTTTTTTATGAAACGACGCGGTTTCTTAGTAAAGTAAAAGAGGCGTTAATCGTCGGAGCAGTAACTTTATAAACTGAAATTAGTAGAATTATTCGTGCTATCGGTAATCTTTTTCGTGCAAAATAATAACTTTTGTGAAGGAAGAAAAGTTACTGCTTACATCGATTAATTGTATATTTTTTTTCGTTTAATAACGATTTATTGTAGTAAAAGTGACGATGCAGGGTGTTCTTAAAATGTATACTAAAAACAATCAATTAGTAAAAGTGCGTTTTGCAGCTTATTGAGGTACATAATTTTATGATCATCCTGTATGAGAAATCGTAGTGAGTTTTATAGCAACAAAACCGAATTATCCGATTGGTTTAGAGGCCAAAAAAGCACGTTAAGAAACCAGTAAAACGATTTTTTTTGTTATAAAATCACTACTCTTGCCTAACGATATAGAAATGAAACATTCCATGCCATTCCTATTTTTTTAAGGATTACCATAAGCCCATTCTCCATGTAGCGTTTTAGTTAAGTTTACTATAGTTTATACGTGTAAATATTGATTTTTCCACAATTAGTCGGAATTGGTTTGTAATTTCACATGTACCTCACTAGGTCTATTAATCAAACCTTTCAATAACCAGTCGAGATAACTCAAAGGCTCTAAAAATAATGGAGAGGAGTACAATGTGAGATTTACGATTTTTAACAGAAATATATGAATAAAAATAAGTCATTAGTTCTCGAGTTAACGAACGAGTTACATTTCAAAATTAGGCCTTAATAGGAAACGGAAAAAATTAAAAATTTCATCAATGACTTCATAACAATACGTTGTTTTATAAAAAATTAAAAAAAAAAGTGGTACTCCTCATCATTTTCTATTACAAGCGAATTCTGACTAACTCCTACCTAAAATGCATTTAAAATATTAAAAAAAGATACTTAAGAATCGACTAATTTAGTATTTTGGTGCTTGAAATTTCTATTAGTTCGCAGGTTTCCGTTCCGATAAAAGTAAAGCATTCTTAAATTATAAACGTGTATCAAGTATGGAATTTTTTCGAGCAGTTATGCGTATTATAGTTAGAAAATAGTCATACGCAGAAGCTTCATGTTCGTACTGTCTAAAAAATTATTACAAACGTACAGGGCGAGCCGAAACTCGCATCCATGTAAGTACATATTTATGCATTTATGTGTTTAGAACTATCATAATATTATTGTTAACGTTAGAAAAATTGTTTATCGTCTTTTGATGTCTCGTTTTCGTTCGGTAGTATGACGAATCATTCGCTTTGTTTTCCTCCATCATCAAGTGTTTGTACATTTCAATGTACCGTGTAAATATGCTGAAACATTCTCTCGAGAAACGCTTGGAAAAACTCCGTTTTCGTTCTTCAGTTCCTATCGCGGTGGATAGAGAAGTTCTACGTGCAATACTATCTAGGTAAAGTTATCGGTCGAATTTATTTTAGTTAAATAAATGTCCTTATATTGCCCGAATGATTCACCTAGAGTCAATTAATATTTGTAAGATGAAGCTTAAACTAATGGATATTTCGTAATATGAATAGAAACGTGTTCGTATTTAATTAATTAGCGGCGTGAGATGTTTGGTTGATTTTAGGTGAAAAACATGTCCATCATATATATCTTTGCATATTTATAAAAATTCACTTATTTATTGTATGTTTTTAAAACATTTAATAAATTAGATATCTTATATAATGTTTTATCCACGATATAACGCTTTTTTATTTTACCAGGTTATTAAAGGACGTAAGGAATTTATTCCCAAAAAAAGTACACTCACAATTTTTTTTATATCAAATATTTTCATTAATACTGATAGAGGCGAAACAACATCCCATTAGGAGCAAAACCTACAATAATTAGCCATCAATTAAACACAATTAACCGATACATTAACAATAATACCTACCTACTTTTAATTCTCCTACCTTGGGACTTGATAGTTTTGGCTTGGAGTTTGCAATACTTGCCCAAAAACTCGTCGATTTTGCTCAATATTTCCAATTTCGTCTCGGTGGACATATCTCTTATCAACGATTCGTACAAAAAATTCGAGAAATTATTGACTATCACTTTCGACAAGGTCCTGCCGAGGTTCGGGTCTCTTTTAAACCGCGTTGAAGACAAAGCCAAATTTAAATCTGCGTGATCGTCGCTCTGTGGACTTTGCAGGGTGTTCTTGAAGAAGTCTTGGAAATCTACAATTTGAAATTTATACAATAATAAACGAGCATTGAAGTTTACTCACTTAAAAACGTGATTTTTCTGGGAAGTGTTTTACCAACGAGCAATTGCGAGAGACTGCTAGTCTTGTAAAATTCGATTTTCTTCGTCTTTTTCTTCGATTTCCTCGGCTTCTTGTCCGTTTTGAAAAGCGAATTGTTCAAATCGAAACTATTCTGACTTTGACTGACCGGCTTGATAACGATCATTGATTTTCCTTCGGTTTCCTTCGCGCAATTTTCGTTTTCCAATTGATAAATCTTTCGGAAAAGCCCAGAGTCTCCTTCGCTTCGCTCGACTGCGTTTACTATTAGCCGCAAATTATCGGAAACATCGCCTCTGCTGTCGATGCTTTTAGTTGTGTTTATAACGAGATTATTAGAGCTTGATTTGTAAATTATATTTGCGAGATCACAGCTGGTTTCTTCGTAAACGCTATTGGTCGAGCTGCAGTTAGAAATATTACTTTCTTCGATTGCTTTCTCTTCAATGCGATTATTGGATAAGTCTTGGTATATTGTTGTTAAGCTACATTTCGTATCAGGAATTGTTGTTTGTTCAATTCCGCGTCGGTGTATTTTGGTGTAAATTGGTATTTTGGATTTTTCGATTGAAATTTGCAATTTTTTTCGTTTAGAAAAATCTATACTTTTGTACAAAGTTGCGATCGTAGAGGTTTTAGCAACTGTATTACTATTCGTTTGTGTGTCGTTTTTAGTCGGTTGATCGCAATTATCTACATCAAAATATCTGAAAATAATTTAACATAACACTCAATAAACAAACATCGGAGTTTAAGTACCTACCTGACTTCGTACGTTGCACCTTCGCAACGTCTCGTATCATCCTCTAAATAAATATAATACTCCAACCGCTCGTTTATCAATCGCTTTCGAAGGTCAGATAAATTTCTCCGGTACAAAACGTGCAAAAAATACACCTTGAATCGAACGCGCTTGCAATCGATTTCGTCGCGTCCGTCCGGGAAGATCCTGGAATGTTTGCTTCTGTGCAAACACATGTTGATGCTCTGATGGATAACCGCCATGTCGCCATTGTCCAAAGGCAGGGACCTCAAACTCGCCGAGTACGGCAGAGTCTTCTTCTGCGGCTCGTTTAAAATGGCTTTGCGTCCGCACTTCACCGGCCGGCTTGCTCTGGTGTACAAATAATACATTAAAATAGCGAAAACAATTCGATTGTTGTTCACCCACAGAAGGATGTTGTTCACGCCGAAGTCGTTGAGCCGTTTCCGGATGCACCTATCGGGATGTTGTACGCCTAGCGTGTTCAATTTGGACACGACTAAACCTACGTCGAACTCCATTGAAGAGCAAACTTTCGTACGGGATAAAGGCGTCAGTCTCTCAACTACCTTAAATAAACATCTATGTATAAAAATGATTATTGGAAGACCCGTTGCGTACATGTATACGGGGTTTTTTGCTGCAACAACAATCGCTGAACAAGTCCTCCAAATCCAAACTAGAACAGGCCGGTTTCGGGGGACATTTGGGTTTAACGCAAAGCGAAATAACTAAATCTTGTCCCTAAAAAAATATATTTTTTACTTATATGTATGCGAATTTAACCATTCCGTAACCTCGTCGTTTTGCAGGTTTAAATTGATAGTTTCGCGCAACCGTATTTGCGGTCCTTCGACGACCGATTTCGACGGCTCGTCGGGATCGAAGACGACGTTGATGGCGTCGTTTCGCGATTGATCGCCGCACAAGAGCTTATCGCTCGATACTTTGAATGATATCTTGCTGCGTCGCGGCTTGTTCACGTTCTCTATGGATATGTCGAAGCGTTGGTTGCTCTTTTTGTTCGGACACGGCGAGCATTCCGGGCACGGGCGGATTACCACGTGGATGTCGCCTTCGTCCTCGGTTTTACCTTTTATGCAAATCACGACTTTGCTGCCGTTTTCGCCCTAAAAACCATGTTCTATTGGACCTTTAATTCGCATATAATATCGCCGTATTTACATCGTCTTTCCAAACGAAATGCAGCGGCGCTCCTGCTTCTTCCGCTTCTTCGGGGCACAAGCAGGGCTCTTCTTCGCACGGGGGTTTATTGCAACTCGTCGCAGAAGGCGTTTTCGAGCCGCAAGGACACTCCTCGAAATATTCCTTCACTCTCTCCAAGTCCGCTAGGCATCTTATTATAATTTTTCGAGCTCCTACCGCATCCACCTAAATAGTTAATGCAAAATAAAGTCATTTTACAGCGCGCGCAATATTTTGAATTCACGAAAATTCTGAATTTTACTTCTTCTGGTTTATTACAATTTTGAGCAATAAACAAAAATTACTATAACGTGGCCTCTACTTTATTAAGCACCTACGCACCACCAAACGAACAAACCGAATCGATCCTATTCAACGAACAAACTTCTGTCAATGTCACTAGTCACTAACGTCAATCATACGTCAAATGTCGGAATAACTGCTGGTAAAAATTTAAACGTAATTTTCTAACGAAACTAATGGATTCGAAAGATTTGGCGTCGATTAAGGAGGCCCAAGAGACGTTTCAATGTCTTTCGGAGCTGTCGAACCTCTTGTGTACGGATTTGGAGCCCGAGACGTTGGCGATTTGCGTGAGACTTTGCGAAGCCGGGGTGAATCCAGAGTTGCTGGCGACGGTTATAAGAGAGTTGAGAAGGGAAATTAGGAGCGCCGGAGACACTAATGATACTAACCACGATAATTTGAACTCGAATTGAAGGAGGAGATGTAAAATGTACAGTACAAATGGATAATTCTGGAGCCTGAGGTTAGATCTCTAAAGTATATTTTTTGTATTATTGAATGCAGTGGCTAGTAATATTGTAAATAAACTTCGAATACTTGTTTTAACACCTTAAAATACTGTTGTTTATCGAGTCCATATTTGTTTGCAGGGGGTGCAAGTTGTAAGCGAATGTTTTATATAAATGAAAGAAGTATTGAATTTTTAATTTATTTTACTTACCTTTGATTGTTTAGTGCTAAAAATAGAACCCAAAGATTTGCAGTGTCTCACTTGAACTATCGTAGGTGGAGGAAGGTTAATTTCCGAAGCCGATTTTTCATCCAGTACATTCGGTATTTGGGTCTTGTGAATCGAATTAGCAGCCATAACTAAAAAGTTTGTTTTCAGAGGCATTGTTAAGGACGTCAAGATTTCTTTAGTAATTCTTTCAACTTGTGCTTTTTGTTTGATACTCATGCTTATACAAGAATTTTCCGAAGAAGTTTTACCTTAAAATAACTAATTAATAATTCTATCTTTGCAGTAACTTATGGGTTTACTTGTTGGAGATTTCTTGGGAATTTTATACATTTCTGCTGGTATATTTTTGATGTATTTAATAGCATCTCCTAGCATGTTATGCAAATCGATGAGCTGCACGAGAATCGGGGTATCGACGTACACCTTACCCAATTTATTGACTTTAACTTTCGCCACATCGAAATCAACTGATTGCAATTTGATGCACTTGGGCTCTTTAATTTTGTTGAATTTTAGAATTTCCGCCACCTCTTTTAACACGTCCGCCGCCCAAACGGCTTGTTTGTATTGCTCCATCGTTAGATAGTAAGACTTGACTGACTGGTATGGCAATCGAGAAGAATTCACCGAAGCAGTTTTCAATATTCTGTTAATGACCGGTAAAAGCTTCTCTTTGGCTAAATTTAATTTGCTAATTACGGTCTTGTACAGGCCGAAACTTTGTTTCGGTGCACTCAGGGAGGTTTTCGATGTCGAGGACATTTTTAAAGGACTGCAATTTGGAACATACAAAATTAAATCACTGGATATTTAAGGCATTTTGAGCAAATAAATATCTAGGTTATTGGTTTTAATTTGATATTTGCATTAAATTGACATAAAAATATTTTTGACAGTAAGTTGCGAATCATTTGAAATATTAAGGGTTGGTATTATAATTATTTTCTGTAAAAAATGAGAAAATTTGCAGTTTATTTTTATTTATATTTCACTACGGTTATTCAGTTATAAAGTTCTTCTTTCTAGTTTACTGGCCTCGACTAATTGTTCGGCCGAGTAAGAAAAGTTGTCAAAACTGACAGTATTGACGCGTACGTCAAAAAAAAGTGGCCTCGACTAGACCAAGTAGAGCAGCTAGGCGGAAACTTTTTTTGTTTTTTTTTGAGTAAAAAGTATCACCTAGCGACCCGATAACGACCTACGCCCCATGAAAACCCATCAATAAACCTGGTGCGGTCTGCGGCTGGCTGGCGTCTCGTCGAAGTTGCGCACAAGAGCGTTCTCCCGGCGCGCAAACTCCAAGAAAATCGTTTCTTGTTCGCCGATGTCACGACCATTGTCGTTCGGCCACTGGCCAAAGGGGGATGTACGTGTATGCGTCCGCCGTTATTTAACGTAGAATTAGTTTAAAGTTTTTTTGTATTTTTGTCTGTTTTATATTGTAGTTCGAGGGCTCCGTGTTCGATAAATTCGCAGACATGGGTTCCTTGTTTCGAAGTGCGGAAATGACTCTTTGTCAGCTGTTCTTGCAGAGCGAGGCTGCTTACGCTTGTGTGTCCGAATTGGGTGAACTCGGATTAGTGCAATTTCGAGATGTAAGTATTTGTATAAATCGCCGTTAATTCATCTAAATACTATTACTCAGGTTTAATGTCAATATTACTAACCGCTAACTGGTATAATTGATTAGTATGTCTTATGGTTAATAGCATAAATTAGGACGATTTATCGCCACGTAATGTATTTACAAATAAAACAATAATTGACAAAAAACTCATTTATTAATAATAGTAGTTTATGTGCATATTTAATCACTTCTCTTAAATAATTTAGATATCCTAGATAATTAGGAAGTTGTCATTATTGACAGCTACTGTTAGACCAAATAACCCGTATTGTTCAGGCCTAAATACTGAAGAAAAATTAGTGTCAACTGTCAAAAATTATTGATATAATTTAAATTTTAATAGATTAATTAATACCTAATTACTGTATTTCTTAGGTAAATAATTTGACCTTTCTTTGTATTAACTTCCGAGTCAATGTCCTCCGTATAATTCTGAATAACCTTCGATTAAAAAAAATAAAAAACTTTTACCATTTTTATTTCTGTTTCTTTGCAGCTGAATCCCGATGTGAACGCTTTCCAACGGAAGTTCGTGAACGAAGTTCGAAGATGCGACGAGATGGAGAGAAAGTTGAGGTATCTGGAAAAGGAAATCAAGAAAGATGGTATTCCGATGTTGGATACGGGTGAGAACCCGGAAGCGCCACAACCTAGAGAAATGATTGATCTGGAAGTACGTGAAAGCAGCAGAAGCCTTTTTCTATGGTCTACTTTATGCTTGTTTTAGGCCACTTTCGAAAAATTGGAGAACGAGTTGCGTGAAGTCAATCAAAACGCCGAAGCTCTTAAGAGAAACTTCCTGGAATTGACGGAGCTCAAGCAGATTTTGAGGAAAACCCAGGTGTTTTTTGATGAGGTAAGTTTGTTTTTTTGCCTCCGGTAATTCTTATTTTAATTTTTTGTATTCATATGCTCACCTAGCATGATAAATTATTAGATTATTTTATACATTTTGATAATAATATGTTCGAAATGAGTAAAGTAGAATTTGTTGTTTGTTGGATTCGTAAATTTCAAGGTGTAATTTAATAAAATTCATTACTTATGCAAATTTGTTTGTAATGATGTGTGGATTAATAGTTAAGTGGCCTTTTATGTAACTGTACATTAGGGAATTATCGATAAATTAGAAATTAATTCAGTTATAATTTAACAATAAATTGTGTTAAATAAACATTATCGGATTAATTTTTTTATTAAAATTAAACGCTAGAGTGGGTTATTTAATAATTACATCGATAAGTTTAGATAATTATTTTGCAAGGACCCGAGTTTTTGCCAATTAAATTTCGCTTCTGGCCTTGAAATTTTACGAATACTAACTTGCACCTTTTTAATTTATCCAAATTTAGAGTATGATTATTTGTCGAATTCAATTAATATCAAATCTATAATAATTTCGTTATGAATTCTTTAGTGATTGTTACAATTTTGTTTTTTTCCAAGATGCTGTATTTAAAGATTTAGTACAATATTGGCAGAGCTTTCTCTCGGCGGATATTTAATGCACGTGCATGTTGTTTTAAATGGTCTAATTAGGAAACTTTCACCACTTTTATTAAAGCACGTGGATACTTTGGGGACATATGGTTTCATAAAAAAATGGGATATACTCCTGGAGAGAGTTTTTGCGTTATCGCGTTTTGATAAGGAATAAATTTCCTGTTAATACAATCCACATGAAATTTGACGCCTATAATCTAATCATTGTCGTTTTTATGACGACAATAAAATAAACTCCGTCTGTTGTTGACTAATTTTTCCGTTTGTTTCGCTGCCGATTCCATTCGTGTTTTGTTTAATGTTTGTAATTATCGAAATTCGATGTTCCTCCATGAATAAATAGGCTCGTTAAAAATATCACCGTCTCGCCTTGGGAAAATGCGGGTTCTATTTTCGAAAATAGTATGTAGAATTTCTTGGAACGAATCGAGTTAAGTTAAAATATTGCACAAAAAGAGCAAATATCGAAGCAAGAACGCCTCTGATCTAATTAAATGTCTCTCGAAACAAATTTATTCACCTGTTTTCAATAATATCTATATCTACATAGTGATTAGTAGTAGAAAAATGTTAAAATTTTATTTATGTAATTAAATTTTATCGTTTACATCTCTATTATGAAACGTCATTATCTCTATGCGTTTAATTCGTTTAAATTATAAAGTAATCTAAATTTTTTATTCGTGATGTACCTATATATTATATAATTTTCGAGAGGACTAGTTAAATTTTTTTCGAATATTCGCTTAAAATTCCATTGCATAATATTTATTAATCGTTTTATACATAAACTGTACAATTTTACTATTGATTCTGATAAGATTAGTTGATAACTTAATATAAGGATGTCTCTAAAATAACAAATTTTATAATATAACATTTTTTAAAAGTACACACTTGTAATCGCTCATTGAAGTTTGTTTGATATTGCAGTGTTTTATCTTTTACGTCAAATCAAAACCTATCCAATATGAATGATGTTTAAAAAAAACGACTAATTTTTTTACTATTAGTCTAATAAATTCCTGTCTATTTGCATTACTTATACAATGTGTAATTTGCATTATCTATTGAACAAAGAACGATGGAACGTTGGTTAATGCAAATACGAAGCTTAAATTAGTCAACTAGTAGTCGTCTAATCGATGACGTGTATAATCAACTTAACTTTTCCAATGGTTATGCAAACATTGCAAATTGCAGTTTAATATCGAGGGAATATTAAATCAAAGCTATGGAAAAGCCTGCTAATATTGTAAATTATTCTCTTTACTATCGATTATTTTCTCATACGAGTGTATTAAGTTTGCAAGAACGCGGAGAGAGGTGTTTTTTTTTCGCTATAATTGGGTTTTTTTTGAATATTAATCCGATGGAATAACCATTACCAATTTCAATTTGCGGTCGTACGATTATTGGAATCTCTCCAGATGAATGAGAAGTTTATTTAAAATCACTAATGAATTGAATACATTCCTATTTTGGTGACGCATCAGGGTGTATATCGGTTATTTGAATCTTTTTAATTTACTTTTGTGAGTTTGAGCTTTTGTAAAATATACCTCTCTTAACTTGGCTTGCGAATTTTTTTTTCCAATTTTAACAAGCGAAAGGGCCACCTGACGACCCTGTGTGACACCGCTCCTAGCGTTAAACACTCGTATATACGGTAATAAATTATACAGTGCGTGCCAAAATGTTGCGTTGGGTGGATGGAAAAAGTTGACTTCGATTTTATTCTGTAAACTTTTGACTCCCACTGTATATTGTTTCACTTAGGATTATCAGGATCATCATTTCACAAATTCGAATTCAACGGCCGATATACAAGTCGATTCGCAAACTAGGATGAGTAATAATCGCGAACAACATTTCATTTTTTTGTAAGTGTAAGTTTTTTATTTTTCAATTTTTTCCTTTTGAAAAAAATAGTACTTACAGGGCGATTGATTGGGCATAAAATTCCGGTATCTCTTATTATATTCGGTGTTTCAAAACGTAGGGGGTATTGGATTTTTGGATTGATCAATCACCTTGTATATAGCGAGGTTGGTTTCTCTAACATCTTATAAATACAGCATCTTACACTGCATGAGGTTTTGACTTTTTTTTCTTTTCTTTCTTTTACAATTTAATTAGGCGTAAATTTAACAATATTAATAGAATTTCAAATAATTTAGTATCTAGTCAAATGGTAAATTGTTAAAAAGGAAGTGTTGATTTTTAAGTAAATTTTACCTATTGACTGGAAACTTACTGTTTCTTGTTGTTTTTTAATAGATACTTAGGAACTTTTTTTTGAAATATTGTTATATTTAACAATATTGTTGTTTCTACTAACGCAATATCAGTTAGGTTTTCCAGCTGCTTATTGGACATTTTTGAAATTTTTTTATAACGATGCTCGTCAGCCTGGTGTACCACATTGCCTATTTTTAGAAATAAATAAAAATACACAAAATCATCAACGTAAAAATAGGGGCCATTTAAATCAGTTTGAAATAATTCCAACGAATCAATGGTTAAATTTCATATCACTAATAAATTAATGTCGATTTGTTTGCTATGTATGTGCAAAGTGGTAAATTGGCAATAAGACTTTTCTACAGTACATTATTTAACGCTTTCGAAACGATTGCAATGGTAAAAATTGCATTTCTGATTACTTCTTTGTTAAGAGCTTATCTAACAATTTTATAAACGAGAGAGAATTTTTTGCCTTATTATTTTTACTTTAGTTTATAATTATGCACAGACTTTTTAATTTTTGCCAAAATATTTTGTTTTCCCTACCAGTTTGTTTCAAATATTAGCCAATTTACGAGAATAAACAAAAAAAAGTGTGTTAATATAATTTGTAAACTTCATCATTACACCAACGTAAATATTTTCTCTGTACTTTCAGTTAATTTGTTATTTTTGGCTCAAAATACTCTCTCGTTTGCGCCATTTTGCCAACCATTTCCACTCTATCCTTACTCGCGAATAAACGCTTAAATATTAACATTCCACCGACGCAACTAACTCGAACAATCGTCGTTTGTGTGGACATACATTCACGCATCATTCGAAAATAAGTTTTGAGATTCAGCTATAATAATAACAAAAAAAATGGGGGCGTTTGCTATGGTATAAAAAAAAAACTAGTAGATAGGGTAGAAGGCAATGTGTGTTTGCAACCAGGCTGAACGAGCACCTACGTGTGGCTCTGCCCCCCAGATGGCCGATCCGTCTCGCGAAGAAGAACAAGTTACCCTCTTGGGCGAGGAAGGCCTTAGGGCAGGCGGACAGGCCCTCAAGCTAGGGTAAATCTTCCTACTTACTATAGACATATTTAACATCCCGAAAAACGAAGAGTCGAGGTTTAGATAGAGAGCGTTGGAAAAATCGAATCGCGCGTCGAATATTTTATTGATTGAATACGCTAATTGTTTGATTGAATATCACCGCATTCTGCACGGAAGGGGCGATATTTATAGAGCTTTTTTTTAGTTGGTACTGGTTTGTAACGGATAATTAGGCGCAATTATGCTACTATTTAATCAAGTAGTTTTAAGAATAATAAAAATTATAATTATCTATGTAGTGAAATAAAGCTTGATAAAACAATTAAGGTAGGTGGAAATTTGGGCAATTTGATATTCGACATTCGATTGATTTTTCGCATTAAACGAATACCCTTTTCCCGTCCTTTTCGAAACAATGCGATGTTAAATGGAGTTAATCGATTTAACCATTACTTATTTAATAGAATCACGACGAAGGTAAAATAGGCAATAAAATTACGTTTTTTGTTTTAAAGAACGATTATAATTACAAAAATTTTTACGGTCTATTGATCGTATACCTAGAGTCGTGTGACGTACGGAAACCTTGAGAAATTCACGATTCATTATAAAAAAATAGACCATACTGAAAGTAATTCACAGGTAAAACAAAAACGGATTATTTGGTTAGTTAATAAACGTATTAAGTTTATTGTTATCATTGCTACACCTTTCTCTTAAAAAATCCAATTTACGTAATCAAACAACAATCATGTTTTAGACGAATGTAACCCGCTTTATTATCAGTTTATTTAGAAACGGGATTATTTCATTGCTAAACCCTAAATCCCTACAGTCAACGCACTCATCCTCAATATGATCCACACACTACATGGCAGCCTTGCGGTAGTTGTAATTTTTTTATTGTTCAATGAAAACTTTATCCCAATGTAAATGTTTTTAGGGGTCATCCCGAGTAATTCACCTTTGACGCATTTTGTTTAACAACACGCTGCTTAAAAAGCGATTAGTAAATTTTCCGTTTACATTTAATAAGAGTAAACTCCTAAATGGGTCAATTTATTTAAATAATGTGGAAAGAATTAATTGTAGGTATAAACTACTTTAATCAATTGGTTTATATTATTTAAGATTAAAGATGAACAAAACAATATTTATTAAAGAATTAAAGTTCTACTAAAAATATCCATTACAATCGATTTATTAGCGCAATAAAAATACGATATAAAACTAATTTACGATTGTCGTAAATATTGTTTTGTTCTCCGCTCGTAAACGTACAGGTACTATTATTCTTGGAAGAGTTAGTATTTAATTTACCTGTTTCTTGGTTAATTATTAATATCCATCAAATTTCGATATGAAATTCGACAAAGAGGACGTGAAAAGGGTAATTTTCTAGTCATTGCAAACGAAATTAAATCTGTCGTTCTTCCAGCACAATATGCGCTTCTACGTGGCTGACGTAGCGACAAGCGAAAGGACAACATTAAGGCAAGACGAAAATATTGTCTATCGATGTTTGTTTTTTAAAAAATATATAATAAATTAAACCGACAATCTAACACTAAGTGGAACTTGCGGTGTTCTTAACGGGTCGAAATTTTCTTAGATTCGATAAAATTTGGTCTGTTGAGTCCATCGCTCTGTGTATTTGAATGGTTGAAAAAAGAATAACAAATTCGACGTCGTCGTAGTTAGTTTTAACAAAAAAAAATCTTGCCGAACTTTGTTGTATAATCTCAGCCTATTATTAAATTGATTAACAATATAGTTTTTCCTCTACTTCGTTTTCTTAATAGGTCTGCTTATTACGGGCAAATGTTAGGTAATCATTGTGTTCCCTTATCAATTATGTATCGAGACTACTAATTGTAATTGTAATTGGGAAGTGAACACATTGAAAATATTAATTGTATATATTTGTCTGTAAAAATGCTTCACTATACACAAATCATGGATTGGACTAATTTAGCGTTGTTTGTTTTTTGTGTATTTCAGATATCTCCATTTGGAATAATTGCATTTGCATTGATTAATTGGTTGTGGTATTTTTTTACAGGAGCGTTGTTTGTGCGATAAATAATGAACAATACCGATCGAAATCGTCATTATTTATCGCTTCAAAGCCGGAACGATTCGATTCGAAAAATATTTTGTAACATGTAAAGTTTTCATAGCTTTTCCGTTGTACAGTAGAGTCTGGAATTTTGCGCTTAACATTCGCTGAACGAAAAGGCGCAGAGCGTTCCAGACTTTAAAGAAGTAGTACCGATTAGTAACAGTATTTCCATTCGTATGTTGTTTTTATTTTGTCTTAGTTTCATGCTAGGTGTTACACGCATTTTTTTATTTCTGACGGTGGCTTGGTATTTGGCTTATTGTTTATTAATTTTGTTATTTTATTTATTCGACGTATAACGTAATTGTTTAACGAGCATTAACGTTTTCGATGCACTTTAGAGTAAATTAGTATCGATCAGTAACGATTAATCGAAACCGTTAATGAGATGGGGGTGTTGTTGTTGGTAAGCAAGAACGGGGGGTGTTCGCTAATTGTAATTTGTGTTGTGTGTTGTTGAGCAGCACGAGGGGGGCGTTAATCCCACTGAGTCTATGACCAGGGCTCTCATTAGCGACGACTCTATAGCCCGACAAAGCGCCTTAGGCCCCGTCCAATTGGGGTACGTATCATTTTCCACTGTCTATTTTTTTCACGTTCATTCGCCGATTCATTCGATTTATACGCTCTTTTTTTTATTTCTCCTAAACAGTGACTTGAATACGACGATATTGCAACGGTGTAGAGTCTTTCTAAAGTCAATTTAGTTAACGAACTCGCCCGGAAATTTATTTTGTGGCTCTGATATGCCTTATTGGAGGAACTTTAGGTTTGCTTCGTTTTATAGAGGAGTCTTATTGTAGCTTCGATTTGGTAATTCAGAAATGTTTTCAGAAATTTCCCAATTTTTTTAATTATGACTCTGAAAGGTGCTTTAATAAGAGTTATATTTTATAGAAAAAAGCTGATACTGCTGACAAATTTATTCTTGTCCAATTTCCCATATATTTCCCTTATTCAAAAATATTAGTTTTACCCATTACTTCCAAACCACTTATGGAAAAAACTTCATTTATATATCATTTTATAGAGAATAGTACAATTCATCTTTTAAACTGACTTTGGGAAGACTGTACATTGGTGGAGGTTTTTTTACTAATCACATCAGTATTTACATATTTAACATGCATTAGAGTTTTGTGTTTTTTTATACAAACATTGTGTAAATAATACTAACATGTTTTTCATTGTATATTATACAAGTTTGCAGGACTTAAATGGATGTGTTTAATGATAGAATAAAACGAGAGATGCATTTTTATATCAATTAAATAAATAAATGGAATAATTTCCTTATGATTAACGTGATGGCGATAATTTTATGGATTGTTTGATAGTCGATTTAGCACTTGTTTATAAAATGTATTTAACGTTTTCATTCATGTACAAATACTTGAAAGTTATTTATTTTTTTATCACCTTGAGCAGTTCGTTTTTGTTGAATTTATTAAATCAATTATAATGAGATTGTTAATCCATAAGTGACTTGTATGTATGCGTATGGGGGTGGGAAAGTTTTTAGATCTGTAGGAAACTAAAAATTTATTTTTTCTCCTTCTACTTTTTTAGCACTACTCATAACTTACTTCTTCACATTAACATATATTAGTTTAACACTTTTTTTTCTATTATACTGTTATAACATAAGTCCTTTTAACAGTTTACCGGAAAAACAATATGACCCGGAGGAATACTTTCCATGGTCAGTATAAATTTTAAATTTTATTCTACATATTGTCGCTTGTTTTATTTTATTTTTTGCAACTATTTTATTATTATTTTGTAGGTATAATAAATGTATAGTAATTAGCAAGTGCAGTTGGTAGTTGCTTTTTCTTTTCAGTAATAATGTTGAGACCGTTCGAAACGATTTTTTTGTATTAAAAATAAAATATGAAAGGTATATGTGCTGGCAGAACTGCAGGTTTAACTTGATATTAAAATTTACAATACAGGGTGTCGGTTTGTTGAGGTTTACAATAAATTTGTAATTAAATGAAATTTGTAGTCTACCGTAATTTGTAACCCTTACACAAAATCATCCTCTGTATTTACTCTCTATGTATATTTTGTACAGCTTGCAATCTCACTATTTTAAATGTATCCTTACATGTATCGAATTTACATGATTTTAATGTTTTACTATTTTTTTTATTATAAATAGCTTCGTAGCGGGTGTGATTTTGCGAGAAAGAATCCCTGCTTTCGAGAGGATGCTGTGGAGAGCTTGCAGAGGAAACGTCTTCCTTAGACAAGCGGAAATTGAAACTCCACTAGAAGATCCATCTAGCGTACGTAACCGAAGCTTTAACGATACTGTATCGAATGAACGTCGATTATTGTTTTACAGGGCGATCAAGTGTACAAATCTGTGTTCATCATATTCTTCCAAGGAGATCAATTGAAGACGAGGGTGAAGAAAATCTGCGAGGGATTTAGAGCGACGCTCTATCCTTGCCCCGAAGCTCCGGCCGATCGCAGGGAAATGGCGATGGGCGTCATGACAAGAATCGAAGATCTTAATACGGTATTTGATTTACCAATAGGAAATTGTAGCAGCTGTAATTTGTTGGTAATTTAGGTGCTGGGACAAACCCAAGACCATCGTCACAGGGTACTGGTAGCGGCGGCGAAGAACATCAAAAATTGGTTCGTAAAAGTGCGGAAAATCAAAGCCATTTACCACACGTTGAACTTGTTCAATTTGGATGTGACGCAAAAGTGTTTGATAGCCGAATGTTGGGTGCCCGTGCTCGACTTGGAGAACATCCAATTGGCTTTGAGAAGAGGAACCGTAAGTTTTCAATATAAAGCAAATTATAAAAAAAACGAATAGAAAAATGTTTAATCGCGCAGGAACGCAGCGGCAGTTCGGTCCCGCCTATTCTGAATCGCATGGATACGTTGGAAGACCCGCCGACGTATAATCACACCAACAAATTCACCAGCGGTTTCCAAACGTTGATCGATGCTTACGGTATCGCCTCCTACAGGGAAATGAATCCGGCGCCGTACACCATCATCACGTTTCCCTTCTTGTTCGCCGTCATGTTCGGCGACTTGGGACACGGGTTCCTCATGACGTTGTTCGGGGCTTGGATGGTGCTCAAAGAGAAACCGCTCGCTGCCAAGAAATCCGACAACGAGGTAATTCCTTGCGCTTTTTTTTTAATTATTTCGACGGTGGCGAATGGTATGTTTTCTTTGTAGATTTGGAACATCTTCTTCGGCGGTCGTTACATCATCTTGCTTATGGGTTGCTTTTCGATGTACACGGGATTGATTTACAACGATGTGTTCGCGAAGTCGCTGAACATATTCGGTTCTAGTTGGTACGTGGCGAACGCGAGCGCTCGTACGGAGAGCAAGGATTACGGGCTCGATCCGAGGGCCGATAGGAATTATATCGGTACGCCCTATCCGTTGGGAATGGATCCCGTTTGGCAGCTCGCGAATAACAAAATCATTTTCCACAATTCGTTTAAAATGAAGATTTCTATTATTTTGGGAATATTGCATATGTTGTTTGGAGTGGTTATGAGTCTGTTTAATCACATGTAAGCGAATCGATTGTTATTCGAAGGTTGTTATTACGAGTATTATGTTTTTTTTAGGTATTTCAAGAACAAACTAAGCATAATTTGTGAATTTATCCCTCAAGTGGTATTCCTCGTGTTCCTGTTTATGTACATGGTTCTTCTCATGTTTATCAAATGGTTCGTGTACTTCGCCAACATAGAAGGTAATGCGTACGATTACGCGAAACTAAGTACTATTCTTACACGTTTTATTGTTTCAGACGATGACATCATTTACGGTTCCAGATGCGCTCCGTCTATTCTCATCACCTTCATCAACATGGTTCTGCAGAAAGAAACGCCTTTCGATCCGAAATGCAAGACGTCCAATTTGTTCGGCGGCCAGCTGGGCTTGCAGAAATTCCTCTTCGTTTGCGCCGTCATTTGCGTACCTTGGATGCTCCTGGCCAAGCCTTTGATCATCATGAGAAATCGCAAAAATGCCGCCCAGTACTCTGTAAGTACCCGTTGTTCTCCGAATCGTGCTTCCTCACGAACGACGCGTTGCAGGTAAACCATCAACAAATGCAATCGGCTACGGAAAATGGCGACGCCGAGCAACCCATGCACAACAGCACGTCCCAGCCGCCGGCGATGGGCGGAGGCGGTCACGACGAGGAGCCGATGGGTGAAATTTTCATTCACCAGGGCATCCACACCATCGAATACGTGTTGGGTTCGGTTTCTCATACTGCTTCTTACCTTCGATTGTGGGCATTGTCGTTGGCGCACGCGCGTAAGTTATCCGGTATTTTCACGCTCTCTTAAAGTTAAAACGAACTTTTTTTTTTTGTAGAATTATCTGAAGTTTTGTGGAACATGGTGCTGAGCAAAGGTTTGCAAGTCGATGATTGGGGCGGCGGTGTCGCTCTGTACGTAATTTTCGCATTTTGGTCGGCTCTGACTGTATCCATTCTTGTTCTGATGGAGGGTTTGTCAGCGTTCTTGCACACTTTGCGTTTGCACTGGTAAGTATCCAAAAAACCGACGCATTCTTGCAGCTTGATAACTTCATATTATTACGTTTTCTCTATTTCAGGGTCGAGTTCCAGAGTAAATTTTACAGCGGTAGTGGTTACGGTTTTCAACCGTTCTCCTTCGAAATCATTTTGGATTCTGCTTCTCAAGGCAAAGAAGAGGTCTAGATTTAATGCGCTCGAAATCATCTAATTGTGTTATTTATAAACGCTTCAATATAGCAAAAACATTGTCAAAATTTCTTTAGATAATTACGTTAACAGTTAAGCACACAATTCGTATTAGTCGAACAAATCCAAAAGTGTTGTGTACTTACTAAAGCTGTTCAAAAAATGAATGTCCCGAAGAAAATAAGTATTTAGGTGACCCCCACTGACAGTTACATAAATGTTCAATGTTGCGTGTAATATTTAAGCTGTTAGTTCAAAGCTTGGAAATAAATCTATTAAAATTTATTGAAAAAAATTTTTAATACTTATCCGATGGCCCACGTCATAAAATATTTACCAAATTTAACTTTTGACAGTGAACATAAGTTTTATAAAATCAGCACTAATAGTATTTATTAATTTTGATAACGAGTATAGTAGTTTTTAGATCCCTTAAATTCGAGTAATGTGACAATATATTGACTAGTGAGATAAATAAGTACATTAAAATCACAATTAAAAAAAAATCCTATCAACATAATAAATTAATATTACCAGTATCTGCTCCTAATAACAGCAATCTGTTTAGCGGCATGTATTCCATCGACGTGAGCAAACCCCTGAAAGAATCTCCGCGGAGTTTGTTATTGGAAAAACAAGCATCAGGAGCAATGGACGTGTGCACTCCTATCCGATTCCCAGTCGTTCCGGATATCAATTCGTCATTGTGGATCCTCAAACAATGAACCGGTTCGGTAGTCCCTCTAAAAAATCCACAATATTAGCACAAAAATCGCATACATCGGCGAGAAAAGGGCATTACACAAACCTCATGTGGAACTTCAATTTCCCATCGGCGATGTTCCAAACGCACGTAGTCTGATCCAAACTGCTCGACACCAAAGTTTCCTTGTCGTACACCTCCAATTGCAGAACTTCGCTTTCGTGCGCCCGCCAATTTGATATTACTAATCCCGTTCTCGTATCCAAAACTATAATGTTTCCAGAAGATTGCCCGGCTGCGATCCAGTTTCCGCATTGAGATATCGCCAGACATCGGATCAAACTAGGCGGGCTGGTACTTATCTAAAAATTTAGATATCAACCGATCTATTAGCGTAAAGATTTCGTGAACTGCGTACCTTTAATTCCTGAATGTAACTGATGAGTCTAGTGTCGAGAACTTTGAGCGTACCATCGGTGGTGGCGGTGAAAACTAACGTAGAAGGAGCCGGCATGCTTTTCAACGTATTAACCGGAGCAAATTTAGGGGATTCTAAATTACCTACGTTAGCTCCCATGAACGGATCCCAAACGTGTACAATCCCATCACAAGAAGCGACTAATCTGCAAGAATTTCACGGTAGATTTAATTTCTCCTTCGATCGAATGTGCACCAACCTTAAACTTTCCAAGAATGTTATGGATAATATCGATTTTTTATGCGAATTGTAAGTCCATTGGCAATTAGACGTGCTGAATCCGTCCCCTTGGCTTCTCATAGACCACAATTTAACGGTCTTATCGCGACTGCCGGACATGAAACTGTTTTCGTTGTCCAAAATCTGCAAGCATTTCACGCCTTGCGTATGTCCGATGAAAGTTTGAAGCTTGATTTGCTTGAAATTTAGTTGAACATCCTTCTCCGAACGACCTGCAATTTTTTTATTTATACTTTCAAAGTAGAACAATTTATACTATCGTACAAACCTATTTCATGTTCCCAATAAGCTAACCAATTTCCTCTTAAATGCCTACTTGAATTTTCTATTCTATTACTGACTAGACTCAATAAATCTACGTTGATGTTGTCTTGCGTTTCGCTTTGGAGTTCGATACGATTACCAATTACAGCTAAAAAGAATGCATTAATTAGTATAATGTATGTTATAATGTGCCTTTTTAAATACCTATATTACTACCAATACTGGACGAATTCACAAGAGGTGGATTTAAATCGACATCTGAATACTTGCAGGTAAAATTTAGCTTAGCAGATGACATCTTGACGTCTTCTTCGTATTCCTGGCAAAGCTTCAAGATTGTCTGGAAATTGTTTAACCCGTTTTCTAATGTATTAACCCCAATCAGTTTAACAAAAGGCACGTAAGCCTTATGCGCTAGTTCCTTCGTAAAAACCTCCTGTATCTCGCTCAAAGCTCTAGTTTCTAAGTTTTCTTCGGGCGCTGTTTCTGTAACCTAAAATTCAACACAAATTTTAGCTGAATTATAACACGATTAAATTAAATTAAACCTTATTATCGTCTGAATGATTCTTATAGACCTTGTCGAATATTTGGAAAAACCTCTGCATGGCCGGCACCAGTAGATATTTCTTCGTCATATCCACACCTATTCTAATCGAAAGCACGTAAATCACGTCCAGATACTTGCGAGCCAACGTATTTCTAGCCATACCGCCGCTAGGAAACGCGTGATTCGTCGAATTCAACAATCGAATAATCGGATGGATTATATTCTTCAATATAACGTCCTGCAACTGATTCATCAGCATCGAATCCGACAGATAAGGAATGATATTTTTCAATAGAGTCAAGCAAGACAACAAACCACCCTCCAGATTCGGCGTAATCCGTTTCTTGCACAACAATATCAATTCAGTCATATACGGAATGTATTGGAAGATGATTATTTGTTCACCATATAAACCTGCAAAAATACACAAGCTAGACATACAGTCGAGTCGAGTCGAGCTCGCGCAGCGTACCCGAGATGCTCGTCAGGCACTCCAGCACGTTGGCGCACGTCTGATCGCCCTTGACGAAGTGCGAGGTGATCGAGATGCTCTTGCAATTGGCCGCGAAGTTCGTCACGGCCGATACGTTGTCTTTGCCGATGTAGCAGAGCGCCAGCATCTTGAGCAAGTTCCTCGACAGGTACTTGGCGGTGAGCAATGGGCCCAGCCGGTGCGACAGCCAGATCAGGCTGTCCGAGCTCACGTCCGATATCTTCGTGCTGCTCTTCGATTTGCCGTCGTAGCGCGGCGCGCTGCTCGCCTCTTCGGCCAGCTCGCCGTCGCTCTTCTTGCTGCCCACCTCGCAGGTGATGTTCGACACGAACTTGTGGCGGCTTTGCGGTATGGGAATCGAAGGGGATTTCAAAACTGGAACTGAACATCGCATAATTTAGATGTAAGCAGTAGTAAGGATCACGGAAGGGATTGAACCAACCAATAGAAATGTATTACAGAGAATGAAGAAGGAACGTGTGAAGGAAAAACAAGAATTTCTGAGGCTAATAATTCAATGCAAAGGATCTGTTTTGGAGGATTTCCAACCTCCGATAGAAGATAGAACTGAAAAGAGAAGAATGAATTTGTATAATTTATAATACCTTCGTTAGTTTCGGTGTGTTCAGGATCGTACGAAAGACCTAATTCTTTATCGGTGCTATCGGAATTGTGTTCGGTTTCCTCCAAATTCTGGTTCAATTCCAGATGTTCCATCAAAAATTTCATCTGATCCTCGTCGTTTTTCTCATCGTCCGCGTCTTCTTCCTTGATTTCGTACTCTTTATCCAGCAGGCTCTTCTGTTTGTCGCTGCAAGCGGATTCGTCGCTACCGGACGTATCCATTTGTTCCGTTTCGATGGTCTTCAAATACGAACTTCTCTTCGCTATTTTCTCGGAATGATCATGCAGCACGAAATCCACTAAATCGTAGTCTTTGTAACCTCCTACCGCCTCTACCAAAGGCACAACGAAGTTCTCTAGGAACACCTTCAAGCCCAGTCTCACCATTAAGCACAGCAGGAAACTGTGATGGTAGAGTTTGGCGATTTTCTTAATGTAAGGCAAATTGTTATCGGGACATTCGTTTTCGTACAACTTCAAAATCGGCTCTAACAAATATTTAGAGGTCCTTCGAGGCCCCAGTAATCTCGAAATAGGCTCGAACAAATACCAAGCGGCCAAAACGGTCGTCGGAGGATCTTCGATCAGATCTTTAACGTGCGGTAAAATGATATTCACAATCTCGCTATCAGTATCCGTATTTAATTCGCCCGTTAAACCATCCAATTGTTTAGCGAACAATTTCACTTTGCACTCGGACACGTTTTGAACGAAGGCGATCTTGGTCTTCTCGACGCTCTCGTACTCCGAGCACATTTGCCCGTCGCAATCGAAGTGATAGAGCACGCTCAATTCGATCGCTACGTTCCGGAAATCCTTCAAATTGCGCGCGATGTCGTAGAGCTGAGGAAAATGCTCGGAGAACGGAACGGTGCAATGCATCAGAGGCTCTAATAATAAATGAGCGCTGGGCGACGGCAAACCTAAATCGGTGATGGCGGAATACTCGCCGTTGTCGGGCCGCAGCAACAAATTCACGATGTAATTCACGCAAGGAGGTATATCGTGCGCGTCGAGCACGGATTTGCAGTACTTTAACCGGTCTTCTAGGTTGTTCGAGCAAACGGTACGCAAATGCTTCGCCATGAATATTTCGACCATCAAACAACCCAGTACTTTCAACTCCTTGATGCGCCTGGCCGATATCATCTCCTTGTAGTTGCAGGAAACGGTGGCGCAATTCCGGCTCGTCTGGCTCTCGTTGAACACCAAATTCAAAAATCCTTCGTTGCGTTTGCGGTGGTGCTTACGCTCCGATGCGTCGTCGTAGCTCCGGTAGAAGTTTTTACGGAAGAAATTGTTCTTTCGTTCGAGGACGTCGAGCAGCAGTTCGGGCTTGTAGTCTTTGGGCAGGTAAATCGTTTCGCATTGGGGTTGATATTCGCTAGTTTTGGAGGTAGTCGGGGCGCTGTCGGTTCGCTGGGTGCTCGACGATCTGCTGGCTTGATCGTCGTGCAACGAGGACCTGCTGCGCGATATTTTCGCCGAGTTATCGCGAGGCAAGCGCTCGTCGTCGCTCGCGTTGGGATCGTGGCAAACCAACGATGAGTTACTCCTTCCTCTCGATCCTGCGATAACAAACGGAATTTATTATTAATTAGAGTATATGGAGCAACTAGGCTTACTCGGTCGAGCGTATTTGCTGGTAAAAACCTTCGGAGGGATTTTGGAAAAATAAGGCGAATCGACGGCTTTAGGAGGATGAGGTTGCGTGAACAATTGCACTAGTCCTGACTTGGTTAAATTTTCATGATCGTCGACCAAATTCAAGCAAATGTTCCTCGATCTTACAGCGGGATTTCCGGTTAATCTATTTAAACAAAACCATTACAATTCTATTCCTGTACATGTTAAATAACTTCTCACCGGTATCCGAACGTTAAATCTATCCAATGGTGAAGTTTTTCGGACACATTGGGACACTCCAAAATTCTCCTGTGTATTTCCACGAATTCTTCCGGATCGGAAGCCCAAGTGGGTACAGTCAAATCGTCCAAATCCTCGTGAATGCTCCTAAAAACGCTCGGATCGGAGTAAAATTCGGGTATGCATTCGTCGGGCGTCCATTCTTGGATCCTTTGTATCGAACTGGGATACTCCGCCGGTACCCAAACAGTTCTAACGTTTTTGCACAGTGTCGGTTTCGGCGTTTTTCGAGCCATGTACACGTAGTAAGTGATCGGGGATAGGACGTCGGAAACGTGGTGAGGAACTTGCGATTGGCTGTTATCGTAGGTTAAATCCAATTGGTGGTCGCCTTTGTTTAATCTGTACTTGGATTTTTTGAGATCGCGCCAATTTTTACCGCACGCAGAGGTGAAGTCGGTTACCCACGGAAACACGTAATGACAATTCGGATCTCCAAACACTCTCCCTAAACATAAAATATATTAGAGTTGTATTAGCACTCGTGGAATACAAAATTTACCTGAGAATTTGTTCAAAGCTGATATGTAGGTGAAATTTGAAATCAAACCGTTTACCCAAAGCTGGCTCAACTCGCACAAACTTTGATCAGTTACGAGTACTGAATCGTACGATTGCGAATTGTAAAATTGACACCTTAATTTGTTGATTTTGATGCTCGTATTCGCATCTAAGGCGGCATTAGCGTTTTGTTCGACGTGTATATTCGATATAATTTGCGGGAATATGTGCACCCACATGTCTTCGTTGATGTATATGTCGTTTAGACTTATTTCTCCCAGCGTTAAGCTTCTCTCGTGCAACGATTTCAGTACATTGAGCAGTTGGTAGATGATAAATAACGATTTTGTGTGACTTTTGTCGAATATTGCTGGCGAAAAGGTAACGCAATCGGCAACGTTGTATTCTACGTACGGAGCGTGTAATAGAAATATTGCACTTTGGGTTTCCACAGCGCATAGAGCGGGGAAAATATTCAGGTCTACTTCGAATTGATTCGAAGATGGAATGGATAAAGTTTCGTCGAATGCATTAATTATTGGACAACCGTAAATCCTAATGATAATCTCTTTTAAAACGTCGTTATATTCGACTAGATTAATGGTGCTTTCTCTGTGAGATTCGTCAGATGAGTATTTTTTGTACATGGTTTTCCAAAGATTTATGTAATTCGTTTTGGTAATGTATTGCATAAGTTGAGAGAATAACAGCGGAGCTTCTTCTTTGGGCAAACGGACTTTCGGCAGTGAAAATATTTTTCCTTCTTTTTTCCTGTGACAGGAAATTATCACTTTCATCCAAGAGGAATTCAAATCTTCTGTCAGAGGCCATGCTTGGAAATCTGCTGTTTCTATGAATTGTATCAATCTTAAGTGCTTAACAAGGTTTCTAAAATTAATACAAATTAACATGTATCATTATTGGATTAAATTACCTTCACTCACTTAAGCCATAATTTATTTACAACTGCTATAAATCTGTCTTCTTTGACGGTTTTCTTGACATACTTCTTTGGTATTCCGAGCTCTTTGAAAATATCAACCATTTCAATTCATTTCAGCAACGATTTATTTAATCAAATCGTAAGTTAAAACTATTTATTTATTAACTTACAATTTTCTAACCTTAATTAAATACAATATTTGACAGATGTCAATTGTTTGTTTCATCTTTTTTTCTTAACTCTTCGGTGGCCTGGTTTTCTGCTGGTATACAAACACAAAATTTAAATACTTTTGAGGATTAAAAAAACTTATTTTATACAATTCTATTTATTTTTTCTTGAAGAGCATTTGGAAAACGTTTGGAATTAATTTTAGCACAATTGATACAGTAAGTCCCCTCGTAATATATACTACAATTCGTATTTTTACACACAATTTTCATGCATTTTATACAAAAAGCGCCTAAGATAATAATTTTCCCTTCTCTCGGCGTCGAAAATGGATCGTTCAAAACAAAGCTGTCCTCTAATAAGATGTAATTTTTTACCTGAGATGGATTTCGACCGAAATAATCGAAGCTTGTACGAAACACGCAAGAGGAACATTGAAAAACATTTTCACTATCATCTTTCTTCAGATTTGTATCTTTCGATGAACAACTTGCATTTGTATTTACTGTATCACTAGTATCAGTCTTCGTTTCAATTTGCTCCATTATGTTAACACCCTAAAAATAAATAATTATCTAATTGAACAATTTTATACACAGAGTCGTTACCTCGGAAAAAAATTAACTAGCTTCACGTTTTTTGTATTACTTTATCTTTAGGTAAAATAACAGGCCACCAATGGGGTTTGTAAACTTTAGCCTTCTGGTCTCCAATTAAAAATTCGCCCAAATCCAAAGCCAAATCCACTCGTAACAATGCCAAACCAAATTTATCTTCTACACCTCTCAGTTTTCCTAAGTTACTCTTCCCTGATGTTAAGCGGTCCTCATTAGGTAAGACGCTTGGTTTGTTTTCGAAGCGAAGGGGCATCAAACGTTTCCTTATAACTCCCGTGTGGTGGGTTCTAGCGGTGAGCTCCTGCCCGATGTAACAACCTTTATGGAAGCTGACCCCGTGCAAGTAGTCACAATTGCATTCTAGTGGAAAGCAGTTGCCCGGCGGTAGGTCGTTCGCACCTTCTCCTATTCCCAACGAATACCTTAACAATTTATACTTATCAGTTGTATCGGAGATATTAATATTTTCTGTTTTAGTAATGTCGTTTTTACTGATAATGCGATACCCTAATTCGGATACTCTGGGGTCTTTAAAAACCATTAAATTATCGCTTTCTGGTAATAATTTGTGCACAGGTACTTCTTCATTATCAGTTTTACCATCGGTATTATTAACATTAAATAATGCGTATATTTTGTAGTCGTTCTCTAAGCTACATACATCTATTTTCCTTCGTACTCGATACAATGTTATGTGCTTTTGTAACGATTTCAGAACATCTAAATCGCACTCGACGTAAAACGAATCATCGGCTACTTTATAAACGATCGTATCGTACAAAACTCTACCCTTGTTGTTCAAAAACATCGAATACATCGAACCCCTAACGTTACTAGACAAATGTTGCATGTCATTTGTAATAAGCCCCTGTAAAAAATCGCTCGCCTCCGTCCCTTGAACTCGAATAAGTGACCTACTCTTTAAAGGCTCTACAAGATACCTCGCAGCATTGCTACTGAAATAACGTAAGGACCCCTTGAGTAATTTCGTATAAAACATTTCTATCACCTGGAAATAGCATGGGTAAAACTAAAAAGGGTTAAATGATAAATATTACTTACAATTTGCTGTTGTTAACAATTACTAATAAGAAAATAATAAATTTAAATTTGGTTATAACAATTTGACATCTGACATATGTGTTTCCTCTTTTTTTCTGTATGAAACTATTAAACTGTTTTTCTGAACAGTAACAGGATGCTAATAATTTGACACTTTTGACAGTAATGAATTGAAGAGTTAGGTTAGATTTAAAAAACATAATTTTTGTGCAATTGTTAATATTTCAATTTAATTATGAGGGTTTCTTTTAATTCATTAAAGTGTTTATTCTCTAAAACCCAAACGATAGTGTTTAATTGTAGGAAATTATCGTCTTCACTTAGCGAACATGCAGCCAATTCCACTGAATTTTTATCCGAACCTTCGAGTAATCAAAAATTGTTGAAAGTAGCTATAATAGGCTTGCCGAACGCTGGAAAAAGTACATTTATTAACAAGTTAATGGACAGAAAAGTACGTTTTCTAGTTTACAATTTTCGATTGTAAATATTTTCGTTTTTCCAGGTTTTTGCTACATCTCAAAGAGTACACACCACCCGAGTGAAAGCTAAGGCTATATTTTCGAGTGAAGATACGCAAATAATTTTTGTAGACACTCCTGGATTGGTTAATGAAAGAGAGCAAAAAAAGTACAATAAGTCTGTAGCAATTCAGCTGTTTAATCTAATGCATGCGATTTTTTAGATTCAAATTAACACCACAATTTATAAACGATGGTAGAGAAGTAGCCAAACACGCAGACATTATAGGTGTCATACACGATGTTTCTTGTCATTGGACGAAGGATAGATTAGATATTAAAATCGTTAGAATTTTGGAAAGCAACAAAGAAAAGCCTAGTTTCCTAGTATTAAATAAGGTAAAATAATTAATACAAGAATGATTAGATACAGATTTATTTACTGAATTAATTATTAGGTAGACGATATAAAATCCAAACGAAAATTGTTAGATATAACGAGGAACGTAACAGAGAATTCCCTCGATGGAAAACCGATAGAACATGTTAAACGAAATTACAAAAAAGAAGACAACGAATACAAAGGTTGGGCGTATTTTTCCGACATATTTATGGTTTCAGCTTTAACAGGTACCTTAATTCACACTATCTAATATGCATTACGTAATTTTCTGTTACTTCACAGGAGATGGTATGGACGACGTTCGAAATTACCTCGTATCTAAAGCGAAACCCGGCCAATGGCTGTTCCCCGAAGCCGTATGGACCGATCAAAACACCGAATCGGTTATCATCAACACAGTGAAAGCGGCATTATTAAACTTTATGCCACAAGAAGTTCCCTACAAACTCCAACCCATCATCGAGTACTTAAACGTAGATGAAGGAGGTAAATTTGTAACATCCGCGTTAATAAATACGCTCAAAAATGTTGTTTTGCAGGTAAAATCGTAACTGTGGTGATAGTCAAATGCCCTACTCAAAGAATCTCTAAACTTCTACTCGGCCATTCGGAGGGGCGATTAAGGAATATAACTGAATACGTTCAAAGAGAATTGCAAGAGTGCTTCTACAGTTTCGTTAAGATTAAAATTGTACCACATCCTCTACCAGATGAGACTAGTCAATAAATAGTTTTGTTAGCAATTATTGCAATTATTTGTAACCTTAAAGTACTTAATTTAGTAGCTCCATTGTACGTAAGGATCTATTGTAAGGATGTTCTAAACTGATGACAATTTATAAACCTTGTCTTAAAAAGAATAAAATAGAGAGCTCAAGAGTGTGTAGTGATGCAATGATATGGGTATTTCGCAAAAAAAAAAATTAATCTAATCGACGAACGAATCCAAAACGAGTCGCATACGGCCGGATATTCCAGTCAAGTGCGACAGAACCGTGAAACTGCGGAGCTCATTGACCGCAGCTAATGCCCCGATATGTATACGTGTGCACACGTTACAACGAAACGGGGGTGTCGAAGCGCGTCGTTGCACCTGCGATGCGATACCTTCGCCGGTGCGTGGCGTGTCGGAAGCGTCCCGGCGACGGCGACGCCGTCTATCCGGCGAACATGCGCGAGTCCTCTCAGACGCCCGGCCCGTGGGCCGGCGGCCGTCTGGGCCAGTGCTCTCCGGCTGTTCGGCTCGCGAACGGAACGACCAGTCCTCGCCCGCCGACGACCCGGTCACGCGGCGCCCCCGAAACAACCTGTCGAATCCCGGTGTCATTACTCCGGTGACCGACTCCGGTTCCACCGCGTACCGAACGAGGCGGATTCCGGCCGCGCCGACGGACGATCTCTGTGCGTAAGGACATCATTTTTATTACGTTAATTGAATTAATTCGTCCGTTGCGGATGCAGCGGTATTAATGTTTAATTTGCGCTTGTTTGAAATTAAATGTTCGGGATGATCCATTCGTTCAGCTCCATTAAAATCAGTAGCGTTTATTGTTTCATTCAAAATCGTTAAAATGGATTTTTAACGATCCTATGAATATAATTAATTGGTAATAATAGATTGTTGGAAATATGGAGATTTATCTAACAAAAACAAATATATATACAAAGCGTTTTATAAAACAATCTACTAATTTACACTTCTGCCTGTAACGATACCACACCCTATCTTTTAAAATAATTAACAATAAATAATAAGCGCTTCAATTAAGTTCTATACCATCCTTGTACTCTGTAACTACTCTGTAAAGCCCGAAGAAAAATTACTGGTGAGTTTTTATCATTAAAACACTTAACTACAAGAGCAGAATATCTACCGTAATCGTAAATTAAGCTAAATATTCAAGATGCACGAGGGAAAATTAATAATTTACGCTAATTTCGCCTGGAAATTGTTAGCGGAATATTCCTATATTATTTAATTCCCCATGGGTTATTTATCAAACGCGAAATAAACAAAGTGATCTATCATTATTAACCATTTCTACCCCTATTATTTTCCATTAATTAAATCGCCGAATATCATTTATCGATTGGTCCAAAAAAGGGGATGTGTTTTTGCGGGAACAATCCTTAATTAACGTCAACTTTGATGTTTAAAATAGAATTGCAATTACGCGACGATGATAAATCCGTCCGGAATGAATCCTAAAATTTTAAACAGTAATATCCTTTAGACTAATTAGCGAAAATTAATCCACTGAAGATTCGGGAAACGCTGGAAAGGTCGCAGCCGGTTTAACGGCATTACTCATTTTTGTCTCCTGAAAAATTACATTTACCTAAGCATTAAAAGGGGCCATTCGTAATCCGGAAAAGGGAACCCCAGCACGCAAAAAGCACATCACAGAAGAGCCGAGGGTTTTGTTCTATTGTGCGTTTGTTCCTCATTATTCCTTGTGATTTTTTAACCTCTAGTTTAAATTTGTTAAAGTACATGTTACGTGTTGTACTTTTTTATAGCGATTAGTTTTAGTTTGCAATAATTGTTAATAACTTTGATGCATTAGTTAAATGATTCCTTTGGTCAGTTAGTTGACCCTTTAGGGGAGATAAAATGACTCTCTTAGGTGGATAATTAAGTTCCTCGTCCTTTGTTTGTTTATTAAACTATGGAGCCCCGGGGAAACACCGTCCAATTTCCATATCAAAACAAACAAATTCAACCTCCTTTCACCGCCTTTAAACAGAAAGCAAAGCGATGAGTTTGTAAATTTTCATAATTTTAATTAGACGGTTATATTTCGACAGCGTTCAACAAAAAACCCTAGGAGGTTTTCTAAATTCTACCGGCCAAACGTTAATTAAAATGGCTGGGAGTTGCTCGCCTGGCCCGTCAAATTAAGTTCGACGGGAAGGATTTTCCTTGCACGCTAATTGCACGTCTACAGGGTGGATTTTTTTTCCACATCAAGCTTTTTTTGTACGCCTAAATTGCTTCCGTAGTTTAAGCGGTAAATTGTTAATTGGGTTGTAAACGAAGGGGGATTTGCCTTTTTATGCACATAAATTACCGAAGCTGTTTAATAAATCAATGTGTTTAAGCTGCCGGGCGTAGCGAAGAAATTTCCCAACGAGTTTAGCGCTTTTTGTTCTAATAAACAAACCTGTAGAGTGTATTGTAGTCGTGAGCAAAAGTAGTGAATTCTTGGGAGAAATATTTTTGCTCGAGAGTGTACTGGTATTTCGATATAAAATAAATAGTGCGTAAATATTTGGGTTTTCCGGTGTCCAGTTTTCTATTATTCCCATTCCGGCGGAATGCCGGGATTTTTAACTTCCTATAATATGAGAAAATTGTGAGAGTTCCAGTTTATAAAAAAATCGTAATAAAATTCTTGAAACCGGTGAAGTTAATACCGGCAGATAAAGCATTTTTTTATGGAAATTTCCCGCATAATAGTCCTTTTACAACCCAAAAAGTTTCTTAATTCGCTTTACGTATTAGTACAGTAACTCATTCGACTCGACACGTTGCCAGATTGTTTCATGAAATCCAAATTAAAGCGGCTAAATGTTTTCCTGTGCTTCAAAGCGAAAGAAAAATTAATAAGTAAAGCCGCGGTTTCGCCGGGCCACTCTCATAAAACGTTTATTTCAGCGGGAACTTTCCTTCTTTGAACTATTAGAGGAGAGAAAGGCCCTTTTTTTATTCTCATATTTACCGCGTTTTCACGACGCTCTGGACCTGGCGTTTTCACCAACAGACATGAAATTATTATGAGATCTATTTTTTCCGAGTGTATAGTGCACGAGACGCGCCCGAATGTCGCCCAACATTTCGCCGAAACCACGGAAAATGATGCAAACAAAATGGGCAGTTATTAGATATTTTTTTTGTTGTTGATTTTCATACGTTTCATCGGGATGAAATTTACTTTCGGACGAAACGGAATATCCCAGACTATTTGTTTTTGGTTGAATTTCATTAAAACCAGCTGACAGTTGAGTTGATGAATTACGAAAGGTTTTTTTTCTATTTTTTATACACATTAAAACACCAACATTATAGGTTTTATGTAGGTTGGAATCGCTTTGTTCCAAACAAAAACAATTTGTTCCATTCCTGTTAACAGGAATATAATAGTGGATTGATTTTAAAGTGATATTTGACATATGAAAGTTGACGTTAACAAAAAAAAAACAATAACACCAAGCAATTTCTAGGGGAATTTGTTTAAATTAACCAGTTGGTAGTTGAAAAATAATTGGAATCGAATGCGCACTAATGAATTTCAATTCTGTTCGACGCGTTTTCCATAAAATAATATCCGAATTCAAAATATTGGGGCAGACGTTTGCGTTGTTGGCAAATTTTCCTAGTTAATCGAACCGCACTCGAATTTATTGAATTGCGGTCGAACATGTGCTATTAGCTGTACAGCACCGGATTAAATTCCCCATTTCTTCTTTTCGTTTTCGCTTCAATGAGCCGATTATTACCGGTGCAATTGCATTTATAAATGAACCTGGAAAAACCGGTTGAAATCCGGATAATGCAGGAATACGCACACTGTATATACATTATTGTTGATGGAAGGTTACTGGATATTCTGCCGTAATTTTCGTTATAAATATCAGAAGGATACGCCAGAATAATTGATATCATTATAATACTCTCTTTCAAATTATGAATCATTATTTATTCGCTAATTGAAAATCTAATTATCCCATTCATTTCAAGTTTCTTTTACATCAGGATATAATGAACCTACCGATTTTCCAGCGCCCATTCACGAGTAATTGAGTCCTAATACAATAGCCCGGATACTTAATCTCCTATTATTGCATTCTTCCTTTTCGCAAAAATATATCAGCCGATTATTCCTCATAATCTAATTAATCCCGATAACTTTTCCCTTATAAAAAAAACACCCGAGTCCCTCCATTTAATTACTAAGTGCCTGAGAAATCTCAGGTATAGTGAAGTGAGAAGGGCCCGACGAAAACACTCCAAAGACGAGATAATTGTTACACTGGATGGCTCTTCCTAATGAAAACACAAACGAATTCAAACACCCGCTAAACTTTCCGCTGCGAACATGTAATTTCCATTCCGGCTAGGAGAAATTAATACCCGGAATGAGTCTTGGTTACAATAGAATAGTCGGATAAATCGCAATCACGAAATAGCAGCGCTCGCGATGAATAAACACGTAAAAGTTCTGAAATATCAGTTGATTCGCGAATCACAGAGTGTAATGAAACATCTAAATTGAGAGAATTGAAAATTTTCTGTACGAGAAAGCAATCATATTAAGCAATAATTGTTAGAGTTCTAGCGAATATCGAGCTCTTTTGTGATCACCCTGCAGGTGTAATGATTTCGTCGGGGATTCCCCCGGCCCAGTAACCGTAATTAAGTTTCGACAATTAATTTCTTTAGGAAGGAAAGCGAAACAATCGCGTTAACGACGCTCGTTTTTCTCTCCCGGAGGCGTCATTCGTTTTAGCGAACCGTGGATTAGGAAATATGATTAACAGAAAGACAAAAAAAATGGTTTTTTCGTTGCTCGTCCGTTGCAAAGGGTTGTGAATGAAAAACAGATCCGCTATAAATTGGACAGAATGTTGAGGAAATAATAAATCCATTAGGTTATTATTGTTTAAGTGAATCTAAGTGAAACAGATTTAATCATTTTTGGCACACGTATTACTTGCTAGTGAATCGAGGCGTATTTTACCTTTTTTCTAAACGTTATATAGAAACTTTTCTTTCGAGGAAAACAAAAGGTGTA